AACGTGCTCGCGAAAGGGAAGCCAATAATTGCAAAGCTTCGTGCGCTACATGTTAACCGTTCTGCGGTGTTTTTTTTCTTTTTTTCGTTAGAAGGCTCTTCCCATCGATTCTTATCGATCGTTCGTACGCATTGTCCATTGACTGTCTACCACATAGTGTGCAGAACACACGAAAAAGGTAGAAATTACGTTTCGCACGCGATGCACGTCTCCCTTACCTCTCTCTCTCTCTCTCTCTCTCTCCCCCCTTCTCTTCCTCCCTTTCTCTGTCTCTCCCTGTCTCTTTCTTTCGTCAGACATATGTGCATTTTTCTTTTTTTACTTGCACGGAAATTTACGACCGCACTGAAGAACTTTAAAGCGAAGGGAGCGATTCCCCCTCGAGGCAATTGAAAAATAGAAAAAGAGACGCTCGTGATGAAAACTTTTATCATTGCAACATGTGCGCGACGTGTATCTAAAATGCAATTAGATCAACTTAATATTCAAACCCAACCACGAATGTAATTGTTAAATATCACGACAAAACAGTATCAACGCTTAAGCGGAACAACCGACAACAAGTGGGCTTAAGTGCTCACAGTTTAGATTACGAAATTATCGACCTTTCGTCAGTAACTCACTACTGGACACATGTACATATATTTTCGAAGAATATTTTAACAATATTTAATCCGATAAGGCAGTCACATCACTGTGTATGTATATTCTCGATTATCACGCGCGTTATTTGTTCTTTTTTTTATAAAAAATATATTAAAATTTGTTTAAGTTTGCAAGCACGTTTTTCATGTATTACTAGCCATGAGACTTCGTCGGCATATTTTACTGATGTCATGTTGATTGTATTAATTTCAATAACAAAAGAAGTACGAATGCAAATTACCCTCGCATCAGCATGTCCAGCAGCTAAGTAAATATTACAACGGTGAAGTAAACGTGCAATAATACAACGCAATAAAGCACTGTGAAAAATTGTAGATAACGTTTTGAAATCATGTTCAACCATCATTAATTCAATTTATCTCACATGGTATTCGCGCCAATGTCAGTTTCATATGTATTAAACTGTATCGTAATTGTGTGCGTTGTGTCTTTTCTTGCTCGCGAGTAGAAGGTAACAACTCTTCGTTTATCACTTCCTATATTGTTGCTTTCGATCATTGGCACCGACAAACTCAAATCTTGCATCTTCCGTTTCTTCTTTTCTTCTCTTATTACAACTATTCTATTTTTATTTCTTTCACAAAATATCACGTTTTCTTTTTCATATCTCTCTTCTACTTACAATAATTTCATTTCAGCTTCCACTCCGTAAAACACCCCGTAAAGCAACAGTGGCTGATGGTATTTCACACTGCCAAGTCTGCACGAACACTCAGGCGAATCTTGCCGCACTGCGACGAGTATCACGTGTCACTACCATCATCGGGCGACGAAGAGTACGAGTAGTTTGGGCGAAGCACATTTTCTTCACGCCTCATATTTCTTTCTTATCAGGCATTCTGTGTGCGCTGAGACCACTGGTCTTCCGACGTGCCGGGGTCACACTTCATTCTTCGCGCTCGATATCACCCGAAGACAACGTTCACGATGTATATCCACGTGTCATTGAGCCCGTCGTAGACTGTCACGCGCGAAGGAGCGCGAGCTTCAGCGGTGTGATAGAGTCGCGCGCGTGCGGCTTCCCCCTCTATTTAACACCATACGCGTGACTGCGACCTTTTCACGAGCCCTTCGACACGGCAGGCGTATTTCAATTGGCCGCTCAGGACGCGCATCCTCTAGCGCAGGTGGTGACGGGAGCCGGAAGGACGTTTGGAGAAGGGAACACATGCAAGGAGTCGATTAATGTGTCGATGTGTCGCCGGTTGTTTCCCTTCTCCAAGTCTCTCCGTCATACATTTGCGATGTCGGGTCTTGGAGGAACAAAATTGACACGATTATTCGGACAGGAAGTAAAAGGTAAAAGTCGCAATTTTCCGGAGTATCCTAGACATTCTTATTTCTCCGGCCTTTAAATATAAATATTTGAGCTTTTAACATCGAATATATATGTATATTTATATGTACATTTATATATATTATTATATTCCATACAATATGATTTTATTATTATATAACATTATTATACAAGGTCTGATAGTTTATGACGCATTGGCTATAAGCAGATAGAACTTATCAAACTGAATACAACATCCTTCTATCATTTCGCGATCACGTAAAATTCTAAGTTATTCATTCTAAGTTATTCACATTATTGCGTACAATCATATATATCAATTTTTTTTTAATTAATATCTAAAAATCTATGTAATTATTTGTAAAGTGGTAGAGTACTTTGTTGGTCAGTTTGATCTAATGCATAAACACATGACAACAGACATCGTTATCGCAGCTCATCTCACCTCACCATATCGCGCGTGATCATTCATCAATATGTTTTAATTAATAACCACTCTTACGTAGTTGCTTGCGAAATGGTAAAGGAATTTTGTGTTCAATTTGGTGAATTCTATCTACACACAACGGAAATATCAATAATTCAGACATTCTGCATATAATATTAATATGTATATATTTTGCGTTGAAAGTTTAAATATTCGCATTTAAAGACTAAAACGATATAAGAATGTCCAGAATCATATACGTGCCCGGGTATTGGTACTTTTATCTTATCACAGTCCAGCTTGGTACTGTTGATACGAATAGTTGGAACTACTCTGAATACTCTTTTATGCAACTTTGCGAGACCTAGAAACGTCGTATATATCAAACGCTCAATATCTAAATGTCTCGATGGTGGAACTCGTTAAGCAACGTTGTATGCATTGGAGCTGGTAATGCTTCACTTATCTGTAGCCGTATGCAGTTGCACGCTCGCTCAAGGATTAATGATAAGTACGATAAAGCAACCGGTCAACATCATAATAGCCGTCTTTTTTTTTAATTAATTTTTTACTGAAAGCATCGACATAATACGTACGTTCGCGATCAATTCAGGTTGTAAATTAAACTTTGCACTCAGACGTTAATTTTATTATGAAAAGCAAACGTCATCCACGGAGTATCGATATTGAGAGATCTGTTGTTTTTATAAGATGCTCTCTCTCGCTCTCTCGCTCTTGTTTATTTATCGACAAGCCTCATAAGTGCGAATAAAACTCGCTCGTGTTGTCTCCTAAAGGCATTCGTTCAGAAATTTGTTTGTCACGATATCTCGAAAAATGAAATTTCATACGTGTTCTCCCTCTCCTTTCTCCCCTCCCTCTCCTTTCTCCCCCCTCTCTCCCTCTCTCTCTCTCTCTCTTTCTCTGTCCATCTCTTTTTCTATCCCCCTTCTCTGTTGAGCATCGCGCCGGGGAACTTTGAGTGTCTTGTCGATACGAGGGGGATAAATGCTTCATACACCCTTTGGATAATGTTAGTGCGACGCCAGCATAAGCCAGCGAACCCTTTCGAAGAGAGAGAAGTTCTTTCATAATTTACAGGTCTACTTACGGGTATCCTCTTTGTAGTTCTGCGTTATATAAGTTCCCGTTAGTATACGTTCGTATAACCTTGTACTACCACTTGCCGCAGCGAGAGAGTAGCGTCGTTTCTCTGAGTATTATTTTGTAGCGATCGTAATACATTTACCGAAGAAGAAGGTCTCGCTAGTCCTCAATGCCTCACGGAGTTTCCCGTGAAAAAATACTCACAGAAATACTTATCGGCGGCATCTATATCGCTATTAATTCGCTGTTCTACTCCGCGTTTGCTCACGATAAAAAAAATGTATCAACGTGTTTAAATGAACTCGGGAATGGCGCGTTATTGAATATGTTAAATTTAATCGGCTGATAATATACAGAGAGCGGGGAGACAGCGATCGTTTCTGAGTTTCTCCTTTGTTGTGAGAACGCTAGCAATACGCGTGTGTGCGGCGATGTGGCCGATGAATGCTATAGATAGATCTTTACAGCAAACGTGTGCCTTCGCCTCGTTGCAATAGCATCTATGTCCGGTCTATATAAGGGTCATCGACATCCTTCTTCGTGAATATCGACGAAATCCGTCGGAGATCAGCGGCCGGTTGCGAAAAGAAAAAAATCCTTGTTCCGCGATTGGCTCTCTTCGCAGTTCTCCTGCGGCGATCTATCCGCGCTTATTATGCGTATATACTTATAGAAGCGGATTATCGATTGAACAAAAACACGGAGAGCTGATTGACGTCGCAGAGTGACTCCGCGATTTCACAGTCGGTGTCTTTTAGATTCTCGCGATACGCGCCGACAGGTGCCAAACGCGATGAAGGCAAACAGGATACATCTCCTTAACGCAAGTCATCTGTTCGTTTAAGTATAATTAGACCGTAAACCGATTGTAAAATTTATGTCAAACAGATTGAAGACGCGTGCTTCGAAGATGACATCAGTGTGCGTTGGGTGATTATTCACCAAAGATTGGCCATCGAAAAAGAAATTCAAGGTTGAATATGTTCAGTTCGACGCCAAGGCTCTATCAGCACCAAAAATAATCATTAAATGTAGGCTAAGCGGAGCTCAGCTGTAAAAAAACAGCACTCACCTGGTCTGGATCAGCCCATTACTTCTAGTTCCGATCATCTCTGATAACGTAAGTTAGCCCATCTTTCTTTGCATACACGATATCCTTGGAGTAGCAGAGTTGCGATACGCAGTGGTATACACTCCGACGTCGCCGCGGCAAAGCAACGTTGGCGAAGTTGCGCACCCATTCAGATGCTTCACGGCTTCGTCAATATCTACTTTCACGTTTACTAGTCTGACCGCACGTCGTAAAGTTCACTTCCGGCTCGATGAGTGTTTGCTTCTTCATTTTCACTCTTGATCACGTTCACTTTTCATTTACGTTTCATTTTCAACGGAGACACCGTTCCCGAATCGGTAAACTTCAAATATTCTCATAAGTTTAAGCAACGGGGTTTAACGTGAATTTCAACGGTTCTGTTCATCGACGATGATCTCGTCATTGTTCGGGTAGCGAAACGCGCGTCATCGATGATTTGTCGTAGCACTTTAACTTGTCTCCTGGTCTGATTTGTTATGCGATTTCAGGGACGTCTAGGGACGGGACGCGGCCGATGCGCCGAAGCTGATGTGCAGCATGCGATTCTGATGTCCCGAGGCACATAACAGCGCCACGTGGTAGTCTGAGGTCGTTACCGTGGGGTGCTGTCGTCATTAGCCCTCCTGGATCAACGACAACGACGGCAGCGACGGTGGCAGCGACGGTGGCGACGATGGCAATGGCAACGACGACGGCGAACCCCGACTAATGAATTCATCATTTTATGATTACATCGTGGACAATAGAATACGCACCGTATGGTGCAATTTGCATGGTGAATACAGAAATAAATAAATAATTTATTAATTCTATATTTAGGCGCAAAAAAATCGAAAAGTACACACAGAAAAGTATTATCCTAAGAAAAGTAATTATTGAATTTACTTCCCTTCTTTTAAGTAATGCTTATCTTTAGCAAAAATATTTTTTTGATAGTCTTAAAGTATACTCGTGACAAATTTTAGAAAAGGTCATTATCGTACGGAAAAAAGAACATTCTTGTTTTAAAAATATCTTTATTTCTGACATGTAAATCTTAAAATGAGATTACATAACAACAGTAAACAAAGATAAGTTACTTGAATCAGTACATTTTGTACGATTCAAAATAGCAATGAAACAAGTCACATTTAATCGCCACATTTAATGAACCTTATCTCATATATTTTGCGTAATAACATATAATAACTCCATACAATTCAATCCTTTTTTTGAGTTACTCCAGATGCTTCTTTTCTCTTCTTGTCTTTTCTTTGTCAAAGAGTCTTGAGCTAAATTTAACTCGCGCACATAGAGCGTGTTTCTACATACATACACCATCGATTTTCTTTAGTCTTAAATTGCTGTTACAACTTTTAACCATTTGTACAAAACCTCTATATTATATTTTATCGACTGGATAATTATTACTTATACTAACAAACCATTTCCGAGACTATTAGATAGTTTGTGTGATCTACGCACGATAATGGAAGGAGAAGAGAATGCTAATGATGATGACATGAAGAATTAAGAATACGACGAATCACTTCAACGAGAAATAAATTACACATGGAAAGAATAGAACATATACTGTTCGAGTCTCTTTTTTTCTCGTTTTGGGCGGAGCATAAATTACGTTCTCATGGCAACTGACGGTAGGGAAGTTCAACTGCAGGGGTGAGACTGTTGCGCGGACGATGAATGAAATTGGAGTGCAACGCAGCGATTTTAACAAAAATATATATAAACATTTAAGTTTGATTCCGTCGTGTAAGACCAGAGTTGTGAAAATATCAATTGTATTTTTCCCATTTTAATAGTTGATTTGAATAAATATGTTTCAATTCGACTAACTGACGATTGATTTGAGCAAAAGGAATCAAAGATCGTTCAATTAATAATTGAACTTGGCAAATTAATTAAAGATTATTTAATTAAGGATTTATGTGAGCAAATTTAATTGAAGACTGTAATTGACGATTGATAAGAATAAATTCAATCGATTCAATCAAAGAGTTTTCGATTATTTAAGGTTACAATTGATTTTGTGGATAATATACATATTCAGAGCATTGTGGATTAATGTATTGATATCATTGACTGCGTTCAACAGAGGAAGCTGCTTTGCAACTGTTGTAAAATTCGTGAGTCTGATTGGGGTATGTTCTTAATTTTGGTTGAATCGAAGAGCATGTACCAATCAGATTCATCGAATTTTACAACAGTTGCAAAGCAGCTTTCTCTGCTGAACGCAGCCATTGATGCCGATTACTAAGAAGTAAGCTAAGTAGGACTCTCGTTGAGGGAGGCTGGTAATATCAATCGTCACCGAACGATTGAATTTGCTCATACTAATCGTCAGTTAAGCAGTCTTTAAATAAATTTATTCTAAGCTCAATCGTCTAAGTTAAACGGTCTCCAATTGAATTGGCTCATATTGATCAATGAAACGCAATATAGTTAATTAAAAATATAATAAATTTTTCGCAACCCTGCGTGCTATAACATCAAATATTTATGCAGAGACACACGTGGGAATACGAATGCACAAAGTGCGTTGCTCCTATCCGCCAGTAGCAATCGTTGATCGATTGCTTCTATTTTTCCCTTGAAAAAAAAACAGGTGCGTGTCAGTGGCGCGAGTTATGTCTTCCTTTATCAGCACGATACCGGCTGTCGTTGTAGCTTTTCCACTTAATTTTGCTCACGCGATAGGCGTGCGCAAATGCATATGCGTATTGATAAGTGTAATTTCCTGTTGCTACTACGAAATTCCCTTCGCTTTCCTTGTCTCTCGTACGTATCACGCAAATCATCTTTACAATCATCGTTGCAAGCTGAGGCGGTCAGTACGTTATGTGTATGTTCTCTTTTCTTTTTCATCACAAAGTTCATCCACGATCATAATGGTGGAGAAATGTATGTATCTTCCCAGAAAGTAAGAAACATTAAATTAACGTTTAGAAACGTTGACTTCATGTGCATTGTTTGGACATTTTTTAATAATATTGCATTTATATTTTTCACATGTTATTTTGCGATATGATTTTTCTGAATGTTGTTTAAACGTTTTAAAAACATTACAAAAAATATATTTTTCAAATGTTACTTTAACATTTATTTTAGATCAATGCAACATCTTAAAAATATTTCTGACGATTAAAACGTTATAGCAACTCTATTTCAACATTATTGAAACTTCCCAATCGCGGTCAAAGTATGTTCATAATGATGTTCGATACAATATTAAACACTACATATTTGAGATTCTTTAAACACAATATTACAGGTTCTTGAATATATTATTGTAGTAACGTTGTATTAATGATTTCTTGCTTACTGGGTTACGATCTGGCTCGGATGAACAATCCCATACAATACAGTAAAATTGCAACAACATTGTGGTAATGTTTCAGCGTTACAAATAAATTGTGAAGTGTCGCTGCAACATTACTGTGGAAGATTGCAACAATAATAAAATGTTCGCTTTCAGAAGTGTTGCAATGCTGGCTTGCTGGCTCCGTCGATTCGCAGTAACGCGAAACATGAACCTCGTAATACGATCAGCCACCTGTATCCTCGCTGACATAATTCCTATCGAACAAACAAAGGAACGGTTGCTCATCGGCAAACAGTTACCAAACGGCAAACAGTAGTACCTCGTTGCGGCCGCTGTTATCAGGTTACTTTGGCTTCCCTCGTCTTCCCGGCTGTATCAACGAATCACCATCATCGTCATTTTTCTCTTCTTCTTCCGCTACGATCTTCCGTTTATCTTGAGACGCGTCTTCATTTTTCAAACTTCCTTCTTTTTATTTTTTAAGTAAAAGATCTCATCTACGTAAAAGGTCTCATTTACGTGTGTACTTATAATTGCACACGAAAGACGACAGCATTTCGATGAAGGATCGGCTCGCACGCGAAGCGCAGCTGGTGTTCGGGTGACACTTCGTCTTCCGGAGAAGACGGTTCTATCGCCGTCGTGATATGCAATCATGTCGAAGACCATGGTACGCAAAACGAAGTCTGGTAACTTTGAATACCGTGGCGATTCCAAGTTTCCGGCGGGTGTGTACACGATCCATCCGCCGCCAGTCTGCGATCATACACTCGGAGGCAGACCGATTCACTTGAGAAGGTCTAGCGCGTACGAGGGAAAAGAGGTAATCGATTACAAAGCGGGATGTTATACGACGAAAAAATTTTCTCGCACAAAAAAACAATTAATATTCATTAAGGATACCGATTTGTCCCGTACTCGGCCAAACTACCCCGGTTTAGTCTCGGTTTTGTCTCAGTTTAGAATGTTTGTAAAATCCTTCTAAAAAAAAAAAAATTCTTCTAACTTTCTTTCTCAAGAAAGTTTATATAACTTTGCTTTTTCTTAATTTTAAGGATAATAAAAGTTTTATCTTGACAATAGTTTCTGTTTTTACTCTGTGCAGCAGGCCTTCATTGTTGTTACTTTCCATATGTCTATAAATAAAATATTATTTCATATATACATAATTTGCATATCAAATATAAAGGTATTTTTATAACAAGAATGTTTTTTTTCTTTGTGCGCACTCGTTAATTACGATTACATTAAACGTTGAAGAAAAATGTTACAATATCTATTGAGATTTAGTTGAAAGTGAAATAAAGGTAAATGATTATCAATTTAACAGATTGGCAAGATAAGGGACAAAAGTGGCGCGAGAAAGTATCTGATACCTTCAAAGAAACCGATGGTTTATCCGAAAATTATGACGAAGGAAGAATACGAGCTTCTGAAGGAACGCAATCGTGTGGTCACGAAGGAGGAGAGACAAGCGGCCGCGGAGGCCGCAGAGAAGGAAAAAGAAAGACTAATAAAGGAGAGCATGGAGCGCAGTGAAGCAATGCGCCAAATGGACTTGAAGAAGAGTTGCGACAAGGATCCGAAAACGAGAGAGATCGAAGAGGAAGCGAGACAGAGAACAATGCATATCCTCGACCGAGCGCAAAACATGCGACTCGAGCAAGAAGAGGAGATACAGAAGTGCAATCGGTTTATCCTGGAAACCAAATGCCGAGCAATCCGCGACGCTCAGGTGAACGTCAATCTAGGTTGAATTTTATGATTTTTGCAAAACCTGACTTTCGTACAGTCAGCTGTCTCATTTATGCGTAGATCGCGGAGAAGAAACTGATAGAACGAGAAATTCTCGAGGAAGAAAAACGACTGAACAATATGATGGAGGACGAGAGAAGATGGGCAGTGAAGGAAGAATTGCGGAAGGAACAAGAAGATGTGGCCAAGAGGCTGCAATTCGCGAAGTTCCTGAAGGAGCAGATCGAGGAGAACGAGCAGCAGCGAATCCTCGGGCTCGAGAAGAAGCAAGAAGAGAGTCGGCTCATTAATTTGAATAACATCGCATGGCAGCAAGACGAGAACGAAAAGCAGCGCAAGAAGGAGGCTGAGAATGCCAGGGTACGGCAAGAACTCACGGAAGTGTACGAACAAATGAGACATTACAAAGCTATGGAGCAAGAGGAGAATAGAATTATAGACTTGAGGTGAAATAAGTTTGTTTTGTCCTTGTGTAATTCTATCAAATCTTTTAATCTTTAGGCTGCCGGCATTTTTTCATTAAAAGTTTTTTTTTCTCAAAAATTTTTCTGTATAAGTAACATACACATGACGCAGAATTTTTAGATTTGTGCAAAGCCACAAAAATGACTTTCCCGGCAGTCTAAAAGTTAACCAAGATGGGAAGTTGCACTGTTTGTACTTAAAATAAAGTATATGTATAGTTGATATTTCGTGAGAGGGAAAAAATAAGGATTGCGAGATAATTCAGGAAATGTCACCACAAAGACCAGATTTTTCAGAAATACAGAATACTGTTTCTACAGGATACAGGACTACTTTCGGCAGAAGAAAGAAAAAGAGGCTAAGAAGGCGGAAGAACAGAGACTGGACAATTTAAGAAAGGAGCGAGAAAAGACCAGAATAGCGACGCAAAGAGTGCACACGCAGGACGTTCAGGTATTATAAATATCAATATATCTGTATTCAAAAATTGTACCAAACAACGTATTTTTACATAGTGTATTCTATAAAATACATTGCGCGATATCGCACGAATATTTCTCCTGATAAAAATGCAATAGTTTGCACGCTAAATTATTGTATCGCATTCTGTGCCGTTTTGTACGGAATTTTTATCTACGTACATCCTTGCGTGCGTTTCAACTACCTATTATGTGCTTATTGTCAAAGGTCAGTGAATCCACGAGCGCCACGTCAAGCCTCGCTATCTACTACATACGTTCTCATTTCGAAATTACGGAGTTTTGCGTTTGTTCCATTATCGTCGTTATTTTCGCTTAACATGGAATTAAATAGTCGTATATGCTGTCGTAGGAATAATGTTATGAAATTAATGCAAATTGAACATTGCTAATTTTCTACTTGAAAGTGCATAAATTTATAGCATTTATATTCGCATGAGAGAGATACTATCACATCAGAATAACATTTAATAAAAAAATCATAAATTGCGACATTAGCTGAACGAATGACGGCAATAAAATTGCAGGCGCATATCGACGAGATCAACGTGGCTCGGGTTCGCGAAGAGGTGGAGCGAGAATGGAGACGAAAGGAAAAGGAAGAAGCCTTGAGAAGACTAGAAGCTCAGAAGATACTGCAAAAGGAAAGAATAGAGCAGATAAATAATAAGCGAATTATACAAGCCATCGAGATCGAGAGAGATAAACGGGAATTCGAGAGAATTGCACGCATGCAACAAGCAGCTCTTTGCAAAGAAAAGGAGAAACTCGAGCGCAAGCAACAGCAAGCTTTAGTTCTCCGTGGTGAGATATTAAAGCAGGTTTGTATTATTAATCACTATGTACAACTACAAGGAAGTTTGAACGCGTTCATACGCATATGCTAACACTCGTCTCGCTTATAGATGAATGAAAAAGAGCGAAAACGCATCGCCGAGCGACAAAGAATGTTCAAGGAAGGTCTAGCGATCCGTGCGGAAATAGAGGCGCGCAAGAAGAAGTTGCAAGACGTGATGGAACGCAAGTGTCAAGAGATGAGGGAAAACAATGTGCCGGACACTTATATCAACGAAGTGAAACGCATGATGGAAAATATTCAATGAATTATACGAAACGATCTTAGAATAGAAAGACCAATCCAAGCCTGGTCTTAAAAGTAAGGAGTCATGTATGCTTTCTATTTTATTATCTATATAACTCTGACACACACACACACATACACACACATATATATATATATATATATATATATATATATATATATATATATATATATAGAGAGAGGGACACATGATATTAAAGTAAAAAAAATCTTAAAATCTAAAATCTTTGTCGATATGGAATTTTTCAATATTCAAGATGCACAGCTCACGAGTCTGTGTAGACCATCGTCTACTTTGAGATCACTTCCACAACATTACAATGCTCGAATCGCGTTCAAAGATATCTTCGATCTGCGCAGCGGACAGACCTGTTCTGCAACAAATTTCGTCGAGGCTATACGCACCAGTGAAGTACTTATAGACTGCATGATTCTTCGTTTCCTCGTTGCAAGATGGGAAGAGGAGTACAGGATACTGCGAGAATGAATGAGATCAATACAGTTGCAGCAGAATAGTTTCGATATTGCTGTCGACGTGGGAATCACTCACGTTGTACACTCTCCTGATGAGTCCTTCGATTAGACCGAACTGCACTAGTCTTCTCTCGTTTATTCGCAGATTTTGCGGATTGAGACGCTGACACAGGTCTCTCATACTGTTACCGTGAGTCATGCTTGCATACATACGATATATATCCCTGAGATGTGCAGGCTGTCTGGCTACAAGGAGAAATGGTCTCCCGATGTATCGCGTCGTGTATCGAAAAAGATATTTTCATACTTATGAAAAAAATATTAATAAATTTAACTTGTGACTACGTAAGTCACAATTTCAAGTTTTTTACTTGTATGATTGCACTATTATATTTATGGCACTATTATATTATAGGCTGTTATTAGACCTTAAGCACTCTCTTGATTGGATGTCATTGTAGCTTTTTCTTTCAATATTATAACGTTCGTAAAACTACTTACGTAGTTTTGAAGCGTACGTTATACATCTCTCCTGTAATTTGACATCTTCCGCGAGCTGCTTCAACTTCGGAGTCGCGGCATAAACATTGCTGTATTGAAATATCGGGATCAGAGTCACAACACCGTAATATCTGCAAGATGTTACGTCGAGTCAGTCAGCTGCACAGTATCGAAATATATTATTTAGATATAATTCAATTTTCCATTGAATATCTTACACGAGATTTTGCACACAGCTTTTAACTAAATTATTCTCTACATCGGCTTCAGCCGCTATGCGTGCCACGTGGTTGAAGCCGTCGATGTAAGGTAACACCTGTTGTGTAGTTAAATCCCATTGATCGCTGTGAAAAGCTTCTCTACCTTCCAAAAATATCGGCACCTGATGGTCGAGAACTGGCTTGGGGTCAGGTGCTAATCTTACTACTTTTAAGTGAGAAGTCATTGTTCCTTCTAAAAAAAAAGGTATTACAGTGTGATACAAGATGTCATGTAATAAATATTCTATATGACAATTGCAAGAAACTTACCAGTTAATGTACACATTTTATATAGATTTAAATCCTGCATGACTTGTGCAAGCATCTCTGCTAATCTGGTCTTATCATCTGAGGCAGATAAAAAACAGTTCTCTATTTCCAAAGCCATCTGACAATTACATAAAAATTGTAATATATGAATTACTGCTGAAGTACGAGAAGTATCAGAGAAAAGAATCAAAGAATCATTACCAAAAAGTCTGACATCTTTTTAACTACCGGCTCATAACGAACAGTACGAGCTGTTGCATCACAAACAAAGCACAAGTTGAAGTAAAATGCATTTCTTGCATATTTTTTATCATCAATCTTTATAGGAAATCCTAAGATTTTATAGTCCTTTAAGGTTCTATAAAAACCAAGAAAAAAGTTATGGAATATAACTTATAAAAAATCAATTTTCTCTTTTTCAAAATTCTAACTTTTTTAACTTACACTGTGATAAAGCTCCTTTGTAATTGTGCCTTTGGTATTATATAAACACTAACATTATCAAAGATATCCTTGGATATAAAATTGTCAGGCACCTGTAAAATGATATAATTTACATAAGATGTAGTGTAAAAGTATTAATTATTTACATCCAGTGATGCATTCTCAGACAACATAAACCTCTAAAAAAATTTCTTTTGAGATATTCCATTTTTTTTAAGAGTTTATATTATTCTTTTTTACCTGACATGTAATCTTAGGTCCTGCTATATGATGAAATTCAGAGAAGAATATACAACGAATAGGATCCTCTTGTATTTTTTTTTCCATATTTGTCGCGATCAATAATATCGTTCAAGATAACAAGATATATCAGGCTTTCTTCCTTTCTTCCTTCCTTCCTTTCTTCCTTCCTTCCTTTCTTCCTTCCTTGAATAAATGGACAAGAACACAGTTCCGAGTGTCACGATTAGAATATATTAAGCCGAATGCTTCATTAAATTAGAATGGTACTTTATAAGTTACTTCTAATTTATTCTAATAATATCTTGATGTATTAATCGAGTTTGATTGCAAGAACAATTAAGAATTAATGCAAACAACCTCGTCGAGGTTATATTTACTTCTGTTGTCAATGCAAAAACGACAGAGACCTCTCGAAAAAAAACAATAAACATATAGGTTAGGTTAGATTGTTCGTGTTGCACTTTTGACACTTTAGGCCTGTTCTTTTTCTCTGCACTACTGCACTAGTGCGATAAGTTAAAGTGAGAAAACATATATGTGTCTCGCTTTAATTTATTGCACCAGTTCAGCAATGCAGCGAAAAAGAACAGATCTTTTTACATCTAACATCCGCGGATTCGTGAGGCAACACGTGCTTTCTCTCGTGAGGTGAAATATAAAAATATTTTAACAACCTTGTTACTTTAATCGATAAAGTAAAACGAATCTTTAAACGAGATATTATGTTATTACGGTATAAGTATCTTATGGCTTAATGGTTTTCTGAATATCAGTGGTAGATAACTACTAATTAAGCTAGGTTATGTTAAATGTATAACCTGTTTGTCAGAGTCTGATTATTCTCAGAGAAGAGAATGGGGAATATCATTTATCGTATTTCAGTTCTTAAAGAAAATAAGAATAATATAATATAATATAATATTATTTTCTTAAAGAAAATAAGAATAATATAAATCTAGAAAAGAAGTAATAAGCACGGTTGAAACATTTACAGGAAGACTGAGAAAGAGGACAGTGTGTCAAATGGCTGTAAATATCCTGGGGAAAGGCTGAAGACACGGGGAATAACTCACCAAGCAAGAAGAAAAAAAAATTACTAGAGTGCCTTTTTACATTGATTTTACAAAATGAATAAAAGAAAATTCGAGGACGATGCCACTTCAACGGACGCCGAAGTCAAGAAAGCTGCATCTCTTTTTAAATCTGACACTGGTGAACTTCTACCTTGCGGCGTAATACATTTACCCACTGACACCACTGTGAATAAACTGCAGGAGATTTGCAACGCTGTGTTGCAGCAAGAGGATCCTTTGCCATTGGCGTTCTATGTGAATAATGTGGAAGTTACAGATACATTGGGAAAGTATTTAAAGAATGACTTTGACTTCCTTGAGGACATTGTAGAAATTGTGTACCAACCACAGGCATTGTTCAAAGTCAGAGCTGTCACAAGATGTACAGGATCTTTAGAAGGTTTTCAATCATTTTATAATCTATTATATGTCTGGACTTTCGAAAAATATTTTGTGTGCAAAATATTTTATATACATTCTTTAAGTTCTCAACATTCTTGTTTTTATAGGACACAAAGAAGCTGTTATATCTGTTGCATTTTCACCAGATGGCAAACATTTAGCTAGTGGTTCTGGTGATACAACAGTAAGGTTGTGGGATATCTATACACAGACGCCTCATTACACATGTGAGGGCCATAGACATTGGGTATTATGTATTTCTTGGTCACCTTGTGGTTCTAAGCTTGTTTCTGGATGTAAAAGTGGATTAATTTATCTGTGGGATCCAAATACTGGCAAACAAATAGGTCAAGATTTAGAAGTTATATTTTATCAAGAGAATGTGTCTTGTATAAATTTACATATACATATTTTTTTTAATTTACATAAACATTTTATATTTGTTACATAGGAAAAGCAATGACAGGACATAATAAATGGGTGACATCTTTGTGCTGGGAGCCCTATCATAAAAATCCTGAATGCCAATATTTAGCAAGTGCATCTAAGGATTGTGACATAAGGATCTGGGATACAAAGAGGTCGCAGTGTTGCCGTACTTTGTCAGGTCATACAAAAAGTGTGACCTGCATAAAGTGGGGTGGTAGTGGTCTTATTTATTCTGCTTCCCAAGACAGAACCATCAAAGTATGGAGAGCAGAAGATGTATGTATCTCACATCCAATCATAATTATCAGTATCTTACTGAATTGATTCAATAATAATTTCTTCAATTACAGGGTGTGCTGTGTAGGACCTTGGAAGGCCATGCTCACTGGGTAAATACTTTAGCTCTAAATGTAGACTATGTTCTTAGAACTGGTCCATTTCATCTAGGATCAACTGCAAATTCTGATCCATTAGTGTATGCAAGAAATCAATACGAATCTGTAGGTGAAGAGAGACTTGTGTCTGGATCTGATGACTTCACATTGTTCTTGTGGAGGCCGGAGAAAGAGAAGAAATCTATTGGTAAATTGTGCACTGTTAAGGAGTTTATTTACTGACACCAAAATGTTTTTGTGTCTTATATTCTTATATTCAATTTTATTTTTTATGCATTTTTGTTGCACTTGTTGGTAATAGGAGTGAGAACATTAAAAAGCTATAAACTGCCCGTGAAACTCAAAGTGTGCCAAAATAAAAAAATATGACGTAAATATTTTTTGTACTTCTACATTTGTGCCAAATTAGAAAGAAATCAGAATGTAACTTTTGGATAGATTTACTTGTGAATGAGACATGACAAGATAATATCATGAAATTTATTTTAAATTAATATTTATTATTTGAATAGTGAAAAAAATATATAAGAATGTAATTTTATTCAATAAAGAGTAAATTTATGAGTAGCTCCTTTGATGCGCCACTGAAAATACGCCCCTTGGGCAATCTGAAAATACATATCTAGTGAATAAACTCCTTAAAATACGACGATCAATGCTGCAAGAAATTGATCACAAAAATACTTTTTAGCAAGGATGACCGGTCACCAACAACTCATTAATGATGTCAAATTCTCGCCAAATGGCTGTATGATTGCGTCCGCGTCCTTCGACAAATCCATCAAATTGTGGGAATCTATTACTGGGAAATTCATCGCCTCGCTAAGGGGTCACGTTCAAGCGGTTTACTCGGTAGCATGGAGTGCTGATTCTCGTCTGCTAGTCAGTGGCAGTTCAGATTCAACTTTAAAAGGTAAATATAGCATTTAGCATAAAATTGAAATCATCAGTGAGAACATTAACGTTAAGAGTAATATTCTCTTGCAGTGTGGAGTATGAAGACTAAGAAGTTAGAACAGGATTTACCTGGACACGCAGACGAGGTTTACGCCGTCGACTGGTCGCCCGACGGTTTACGAGTTGCCTCAGGTGGAAAGGATAAAGTTTTACGACTATGGCAAAATTAAATATAAGTGAAAAAGAAATCAAGAAACAGTAGTTACTAACCTGAAATTATCCTGAAATATTCAATCCCACAAGATATCTCTCTTACATGTCTTATTAAATAATTGCATTCATTAAGCGCTCCAAAGAATTTCAGAAAAAATCGTAGAATATTTTTTTTTTATACAGAAATCATGCGGTTGAAAGCAAAAATAGTTTGAATTTGAAATGCTTTTGGGTTTTGTAGCAATCATAGAGTCATAAACAAGATAAGTCACAGATGAGTAAGTTAACGATTTAGTACAAATATTTTAGTAACATTACCTTATTCTGAACTTTTTTTATCGATCGATCAGAAAATTCTTATGTCATATTGAGGAACTTTTATCGATAAAAGAAAATTCAAAACTAGAATCTAAGTATTTTTCTCTCTTTGGATGAAATTTGCGCGCGCGAGGTCGAAAATAAAACCATGAACAAGATAAATCACAGACGAGCTACCTAGTGACATTTTTCGTAGCACTCATGAAACTGCACACGGACTTTTATCTCAAAGACGACATCTGATCAGTTGGCTTAAAATGACGTCTGATAAGTGAAAGTCTAACCTTCTTATTCATTTTATATATTTACATTGCATTTGCAACAATATAGTACTTCCTGCAACGGGTATCATGGTAAACAAATTAGAATAATCCTCCTCGTTACATCAGCGGCGAAATTAATTTGTAATGACATCCGAATAAGTCCACGCTTTGACGTTTCATCGCTTCGGAATATACAGTGCAAAATTTGTTGTACGCAAAGTAAAAATTTCTGAATAAAACACAGAAAAATACGTGTAAAATTTTCAGGACGACGATGCAGCTGCTCTGCAAAATCTGGAGCAATTGATGACAGAATTTTTCTCCCCGGAGACAAGCAACGAACGGAAACGTACGATTGAACGTAGTTTTCAAGAATTCACTGCACAGATTGACTCTTGGAAGCCGTGTCTGCATTTTTTATCATCTACAAGCAATCATTATGTCAGTATGTTTGCTCTGTCCACCCTGGAGGTAACTATTCAAGTCAGAGATCATTGGTAATAATACAATATTGTTCGATAACCTTTCGGTCTAAACCATTTTACAGACAACTATTGGAAGGAGATGGCCCATTCTGCCATGGGAAGACAGAGCCCTTACTAGATCCACTTTGTACACATTATCATTGGAAAGAGGTGTAGCTCCTTTTGTAAGGAATAAAGTTGTGAAATTAGTAGTAGATATAGCGAGACATGACTGGCCACATTTTTACCCAGACTTTTATTCCAATATTTTACAGGTTTGTTAATAGAATATCTCATCATATACATTACTATCATTGAATATGTATGTATCACCATATATAAAAATATTCTTGTTTCTATCCAACAGTTACTAAGTCACAAACACACAAGGCTACTCGGGCTTGTCTATCTGAGAACAGCTTCAGAAGAACTAGCTACACCAAGAGAAGATCTGCCGATGCATAGAAAGACTGAGTTATTCAGACTCTTAAGCTCACAAGTGCCTCTGACTTTGGATACACTTACAGGTACAATTAATATTGCAGTTGGAAATTAATTTCTCTGGCAGGGATCACTATAATTCTTTTTACTATATTATAGTACTTCTGAAGGAAACCACAAAGTTGCAAAGTCGTTCTGGTACTGTCACACCTCCTCCATCACCCACCAGTGGGCAAACTCTTGCACCTGTACGTGCTGTGCTTGACGTCGAAGGATTAGCAACAGGCACCAGTGAAGTTTGCACAGCAACTCTTGATGTTTTAGCACACTTATTCAGTTGGATTGATCTATCAGACAGCATCTCAAGTAACTTGTTGGACTCTATTTTTTCATGTGCCAAATATCATGATGCAATGGTAAGATTTGACTTCTCATAAACAGAATATACATGATAGCATGTGAAAAATATTTTTCCACTTTTGACAGAATGGCAAGCAAATAGAAATGGCTGTACAAGCTTTGACTACGATTAACGAACTCCTGTATAGACCACTCTGTTCACCCAATGCGACTGACACCTTATTGCTGGAAATATTTCAGAATGGCGTTAGTTTATTTCAGTTGATGGAACGTCTTGATTCAATAGATGAAAGGTATTCGTTGAACACATTCGCGAAGAATCTACTTAGCGTTTTCAACATGCAAAACATTCAAAAGATATTTCTTTCTAGCTACATGGAAAAAATGACAGAGTTCTTACAATTGTTTATAACAAATCACCTGAAGAGAATGGAATCGAGTTCAAAGTTTCCAATAAATACGTTATTAGAAGTATTGTGTCATCACACGTTCCAGCAAGCTTCCACCGTAAACGGTTACCTGCGATGTTTAGACGTATGGACCACGCTTTTGGAGAGCACTCAGTCACGATATTCTGCTGTAGCGTTAGCTCTCGCCGAACGAGTATTGCAGAAAATGAGCTTTAAGCTCAATGCTCGAGTACTGAGGGATCTTGATACGGAGAGTTTGGATGAGAATGTGAGTTGAATATAGATCACTTCACAATTATTCCTATATCAAGCTTTACAATTTTTATTTTCAGGAAGAAACAGAATGGCAGCATTTTCTACGGTGTAATGTAGAATGTCTAGCGAAAATAGCTGACATCTCGCCTATTCCAGTATTCACACTATTGGTAAATTTTAATTAACATATATATCTTGTATGCATCTCTGTTTAAAATATCTGTCTGTCTGTTATGCGAAAATATTAATAATAGCTATTTCTTTCAGTATCGTTCATGGAGAGAGGGATTAATTATTTTTGGGGAATTAGGTGCCGCCTTAGCGAATGGTCAAGTTATTTTATTAAATGATGCAGAGGCCTCGAATGTGCATGCACATCTGAGAGATCTCGCATCAACTACACAAGCTCTAGCTAGGCTATATTCTCTTTTCATCGGTAAGCTGCAATTTTGTCAATTTTTGGCGACTGTTTGGTTATTTGCATCGATGTAACCCGTATGTGCTTACAAGGTGATCAAACAAATGTTGATCAAGGCTTGGCTGAGGAAGTTATATCACAAACTCTCGATGCCTGTATGTTTGCGAGAGATAATCAATTGTATAAAGCTGCGCTTCAGCCAGCCGCTATCGTAATAGATCTTATAGAAGTGTAAGTTTTTAACTTTCTGATACCTGTCTCTAGGCTTAATAATAAGAAAATTATATACAGGTATTCGTTAAATATTTATTTATTTGCGCTATTAGACATTCACAGCTTTTAGCTTCTCTTCAAGCGTGGTGTCATTTGATAGCCAGAAGACCGGAGAAAACTAAGGAGACACTCTGTCAACGTTGCATCGATTCGTGCATCTGGGCGACGACGTACACTACGTCCTGCGATCAGCCACCTCCGTCAAATCTCATCCATTCCGCCACTCATCTTTTCCAGAGTATCACCGCCGTTTTGAAACCCATCCTATGGGACCAACCGACTTTCAGAAATTTAATTTCTATGGGCTCATATCCGTATTTGAAGCCTGACACGATAAAAGTCCTACGCAGAGCATTGGTAAACGGAATTATATTGCCACCTGGTGATGCGGTAACGAGGCAAAGATTGCTAGGTAAGTTTGCTTTATAATCTCGTCTATAACGCGAGTGTAACATCCGCAACTAACCATTTGTAGAATATTGAAAATTGTTTCTTCTAGGTACTATGATATTAGCCCTGTCCGCACCTTTAGGTATGCAAGGACAACCAGTGCCTTCGGAATCAACCATTCCGATTACGATTTTGCCGCTGATTCAACTACTGAAGGACTGCGCTTCCTCGTCAACGATTATCAAGAAAATGTTACACTCGTGTCTGGAATCTATCATAAATAGAACGTTGGAGTTATTACCTTACGTGATAAGATGTCCGAGTATATGTGAAGCGTTACTTAGTTTTTTACATTCGGCATTTTCAGTATTACAACAACAACTAGGTCCCGAGTTCATGCAGAATGCAGTTCAAGGCATGCTACAGATTTACACCAGGTTTGTACGAAATCCATGAAGCGTAACAAGATTGTTTGCTTGAAACTGTCTTAACTAGAACATCGATATTGCTTCAGAGAAAATATTTCTGCTGGGCCTGCGTTGGATCAATTGCTGGAGATCTTGATACTCGTCGTATCGGCACCCAGTAATGCATTTAAGGCATTTGTACCGTCAGTGACGAGTTTGTGTCTGGGTCAGGTATGGCCTGCTGTCGGCAGCAACTTGAGCGCCCATCCAGACACGACATTAGTCTTATTGAAACTTTTCCATAGGTAATATCTCTTATGTTAATAATTTAATTTTGGTTAGGAGCTAGCCAGCTCTTATCACAACCACTTTTCAGTATCCTTATGCACCGATGGCAGTATTTCTACAATACCTCTGTACTGCGAACTCTTGGACATCCCGACGAGGATGAGTCTGTTGAGCACAAGGAGGAATTGGTAGCGATTTTGGAGGCATTCGGTCAGGCTCTACTTCAGTCAGATGTCAATATATTCCGACAGAGTTTACAGAGTCTCGAGCAGTTAAATATACGGTGGCGGCTTTATCAGCGTGCAGTCTTCAAGGTTCATCTTCTCGAGAGATTCCTCATGGCATTGTTCACAGTTTTGTTTCAACAGTGAGTATACTAATTGTAATTTATACTGTCGACGATGTACACACGTTAATTATCGTTATTATCGTTAATTACGTATCATTTACGTTTGCATTTACTTTTCGTAGATCTCACAATCTGCTGGCAGATGAAATAGCCGCGGCTATTCATAGTTTGGCGTCCGTTAATATAGGGTGGTTCTTTGGTCATTTCCTACCAACATTCTTGGCAACTTGCGAAGGTGTAGATAATATGCAGAGAGCCACCTTACTGGAAAACTTCGACAAATCTACGGTATGTAAAGTATTTGCCGTTAAACATAAAAGCGCGAATGCAAGTGTACCGTCAGGAATTATACAAATCATGTGTGACAAATCGTTTCAGGATCAGCCAACATTGACCAGATCGGTTCTCCAGCTTATTTCAGACTTGAGGTGTTATCAGCTTTGCAGGCCAGGTTGAACGCAATCGCGTCTCGATGCGATGCGATCATAACGTAACCTGTATTCCACAAGACTTCTACAGTGGCATTTAAATGAGTCACATTTCCATCGAATCTCTCCTGCGAGTGCCTCTATGTATATGAACGCGAGACATTACCAGTGATAGAACGAAAAAAGACAAACGTTTTATAAACATTTACCATTGTGTGTATATCACTGCCGCACCTTATTGTGATGTCGCTATTGTTATGAATAAAACGTGCGTTTTTATATATGCTAAGTCGCGTTTTCAGAACTTCTAGTATAATATACTTTTAATTTTTTATTCAACTTTCACTTCTTATATTTCTCTCTTACCGATTATAATCAGAAAGAGTTGTTTATGATTTACTAGAGATTCAAGCAAGGTCGTTCAAGTAGTCGCCTACCATTTATAGCATATCAGTCTTGTTTAGCTTAGATATACTTTTTCTCCAGATATTCTCGCGTTATCTTTATTATTATCACATTTCGTCCCTCTCTTACGATAAATAGAGCCATCCTGATAACCCAAGCTGTTTATTACAACCGGCGACGTGAACAGTAGCAAACGATTGGTTATGGCGAGTCTATTGCTGAGGAAGACTCCCTGCGTTTCCCAGTTCCAGATGGCGAGGCACTTGGTGACCGATCCGAAGTACGGATTTTTGAAGGAATTAGGCATCACCGCCGTAAATCCTGGACTTTACGATGGAAAGTGGGGTGGATCTGGCGAGGTACACGATGTTGATTTCTCCTTATCGTTATTGATAACGAATAGATAATTGTGGAAGCTGAAGAGAATCATAAAACATTGTAAATCACATTACAATGTAATAGTATATAACAAATGTAACGAAAATAGCAATAATATGGTAACAACTATAATCTGTATTACAATATTAATCATTTTGTGCAGGTGATAGAGTCGATATCGCCCGCAACCGGCAAAGTGATCGCGAAGATTCGCCAGTCCACGCCGCAAGAAGCCAGCAATGCTATCACGGAAGCGCGCAAAGCTTGGTCACAATGGGCATCCATCCCGGCGCCAGCGAGAGGAGAGATTGTACGGCAAATAGGAGACGAACTCAGAAAAAACCTGAAGCCATTGGGACGTTTAGTATCGTTGGAAATGGGTAAGTTATTTCAATGTGCATCGAAATTTCGCTTGCAACATTATCGCAATCGATCCGCCTACTTGAAGGCCATTTACTTATAATTAATACGTCGTGTTACAGGGAAGATACTACCGGAGGGCATAGGCGAAGTCCAGGAATTCATCGACATATGCGATTACGCGGTCGGACTGTCGCGTATGTTACCCGGCAGCATATTCCCTTCAGAGAGGAAAGACCACGCGCTGCTGGAGAAATGGAATCCCTTGGGTGTAGTCGGCATTATCTCTGCATTTAACTTCCCCATAGCAGTGAGTGCGACTTCAAGATGTTTGATCATCGTTTTAGCATGAGTAATTTCTTTCATTTCAATTCGTGTTTTTTCCACAGGTGTACGGTTGGAACACTGCCATTGCAATGGTCTGCGGTAACGCTATCGTCTGGAAAGGTGCCTTGACCACGCCTTTAGTAGCCATCGCAACCACGAAGATAATTGTGGACGTCTTGGAACGCAACGGCATCCCAGGTTCCGTCGCGTCATTGGTGTCAGGTGGGCCAGATGTCGGAGAGACTTTGGTGAATGATAAACGGTCAGTTTCAGACCCGTATTAATAATTATTACTTGAAACTTGTTCCACGTGAGATAATCAGATTCGAATTTAAAGTCTGAGTTTTTCTACTTGAATCACATAATATATACAACATTACATTTGCATAATCGCAACTCAATTAAAAGATTCACATCTAACTTTCAATTCAAATCTGAGTATCTCATCTGAGACAAATAATAACTATTAATACACGTTTCTAATTTGTATAATTTTTGTCGCGTTATAATATAAAAAGGTACTAACGCCTGAACATTTTTATTGTTTTGATCTTTAAATGCTCTCAAGCAGACATATGTAATACATGTGTATGTATATTTTTTAAAACTTGAAACTTTTATTTGAAGAACAAAACACTAAGAATGCTCAGTATCATGTATCCGGGCATTGATACATTTACTTTACTATACTACGTATATAATAAATATACGGCTGAACTTATGACCGGTTACACATTACCAGGATACCTCTGGTTTCATTTACCGGAAGCACGAACGTGGGGAGACAAGTGGCTGTTAAAGTCCAACAAAGATTCGGAAAGTCCTTGCTGGAACTCGGTGGTAACAACGCGTTAATAGGTACGTGTCGTCATTATGAAATAATTCTTTCCATTGTCCGCATGTCACATTTGCGTTTATGCTTCCATCAACAGTTGCGCAAGATGCAGATTTGGAAATGGCAGTGAGAGCGGCTGTCTTCTCATGCGTTGGAACAGCTGGACAAAGATGCACCACAACCAGAAGATTGATATTACACCAAAAGATAAAACAGGAATTTTTAGGTACTCAATTCCACAAACGTAAATCAAGGATATTAAGAAACAGAAATCCTTAGTGAAATTAAAGACACGCATAGAACAAAACGTATATAAAGCTACATGCAAATTTTTAGGGAAACTAAAGGCGGCATATAAGAGTATCCTGGGACGAATTGGAGACCCATTGGACGACGGTGTGCTGTATGGGCCGTTGCACAATCAAAAAGCGGTTGATGAGTACCAGGTAGATGCACAACAGTGGTCAGAATTGTCACGTTATACACATCGTCGTTTAAACAAAATTCTCTCACTGTAGGCGGCAATAAAAAAAGCCGTGGAGGCCGGTGGCACGATAGAGTTCGGTGGAAAACAAGTAGAGCGGCCCGGTTATTACGTGGAGCCGACCATCATCTCGGGTCTACCAGCCGACGCCGAGGTGGTGCAACAGGAGACCTTTGCTCCGATCGTCTACATCTTGGAGGCTAATTCTCTGGAAGAAGCCATCAATCTCAACAACGGCGTGGAACAAGGATTGAGCAGTAGTCTTTTTACTAAAAGTATCGGAAATGTATTTCAGGTAAAACTAATGTTATAATCAACAACGCGCTTAAGATAATACGCTTTGTGAGTGTGTTCTATTGAATAGTGGATATGCACAGTCTCGAAAAAAAAAAAAAAAAAACCGAAAATTTTAAAAGTGGAACATCGTCCCAAAGTCGCAATTTCGAAAACTGAACACAGGGACGACTCTTAAAATAGTGAAAGCATGAAGTTATCAATAACTTGCCATATAACTTTGTGGGAGAACTTTATGCCTTCAATATTTCGAGGGATTCCCTGTGCTCAGTTTTTGGATTTGTGACTTTTCGGGACAATAGTATGCTTTTAATATTTCAGAAAAATTGCATTTCGATTGTCCTAGTATTCAGTTTTCGGGATTGTGATTTTTCGGAACATTGTCCCACTTCTCTAATTTCGGGATTCTGATTTTTCGGAATTATGCATGTCCACTGACCGAATTCTCATGAAATTCTTGCTGTCTGCATCGTACAGTGGATCGGCCCTCACGGATCGGATTGCGGGATAGTCAACGTCAACATCGGCACCAGCGGCGCCGAGATAGGCGGTGCGTTTGGCGGCGAGAAGGCCACGGGCGGTGGTCGAGAAAGCGGAAGCGACGCATGGAAGCATTACATGCGACGCGCGACAATCACGATCAATCATGGGAACGAACTACCCTTAGCTCAGGGCATCAAGTTCGAATAGATAGATCTGGCGTTCGAGTAAATCAACGGTTTAACTCGAATCGTATAAAATCCACCTCGATGTCGACGGAGGCTTTTTTGTGAAATTTATAGGCTCTCGGTAGATCGTATCTGAGTTCGGCCACTACTGTTCCCTTCGCGCCGAGCTGCGCCGCTCTCGAGAGAACATAATCACGCGTACTGCTTTTGTGCAGCGAATAAACTACGCTGGACGAGAGTCGAATCGCCACCTCTAGAAATTTCATGTCGATACCGGCGTTGTTTTTAGTGCCAAACGGTGGATTCATTATGACTGTGTCGAAATATTTCTCGAATTTTCCTGCAACGTAAGATTCCACATATTCGTTTGTACTTTTCATAAATACAGTAAATCATATAATGAGAATGATATGTGTGTATACAAAATGAAGTATGTAACTGAAACCACTTCGTAAAGAACTACTTTGTTTTGGAACGATTGATTGTTACATATAAAATACAATAAATCAGATAGAAGTCGTTTAAAAATTATGTTGTTTAACATGGCTAAATTTGTTTTAACATTACCTGCAACTTTCGTTATAGAATAAAAATTTAAAAACCTTGAAAACTACAAGCAACAAAAAATATTTGAATAATGTATTGCATGATCTTATTTGAATTATGCAATATATATTCATTTGAATCAACTTTCGTTAAAATCAATATTTACAGCATTATAAGTAATTCCACAGTTGCATGCTTCACCTTGTATATATAATATATATTGACAAATATACCTGGTAAATATTGCAGTATATCACACTGCACGATTTCGACATAGAGTTCTATGTCTTTGCAGTTAACATTGTGTATGTCAATCGCATCTGAATCTATTTCAAATCCAATTACATACTCGGCACCAAGCATTTTTGCACCCAATGACAGTACACCACATCCAGAACCTAAGTCCGCTGTGCTTTTACCTTCTATATCATTGAACTGTGATTGTGCAGTATATAACATATGTGAGGCGATATGTGCGCTAGTGGCATACTGCTCGAGTGAAACTTTTGGCTTTTCGAAGACCTCCAGCTGTTGAAGATAATCTTCTAATTGACGAAGTCGAAGAGCAGCCATTATCTCTGTTTGTTTGAACTATTGATAGAGTCTCCAGACTATTGGCCACACGCACAATCTCTAAGAGAATCTTATCCAACAAATATTTATAAAAATTATTTAATTCTTATTGGATAAGATTTCCATTAACATTACTTATATACAGTCTTCAAAATTTGTTTATACAAGTTTTAATTATTTCACAGTCAAGATAAGTCATTTACTGTCAAATCTTGGGAGGACTGGTAATATCAGATTTCCAAAAGAAGAATCCTGTGTCACAAAATAACCTGATGAGGCAGCATGTGCATTATGTAAAGCAGCTCGTTGAGATGCACTCATTGCTATACCATCGTTAGATTGTGTTGTAGGCTATGAAAGAAATACATACCAACAAAATGAAGCAAAAATGGAAAGAATGTTATACATATATCCAGTTAAATACAATTTAGCTGAAATTATACATACTACACTTGATACAGAGCCAGTTGACGAGACAGCTAAGGATGAAGTCAAACTTGGTGCAACTCCTTGCTTCAAGAGCATCTGCTTTTTCAATTGCAGTTCTTCCAAGATCTTCCTATTTTGTAATTCTACAAGCACTCAACTTTAACTTTGATATACATAATACACCAATGTGAGGAATTCTGTATACATTCGTATCAAGATTACCTCTCGAATTCGATTGTGAAAAAGCCATCAAATTTACATGCGTGGTTCAACTTGAAATAGGCTTAAGATTTCCGTGATAAACGAAATATCTTTAATTAAAAATATATCGTTAACCTCCTTAATAGTAAATTTTGTTCACAATTTGTTGAAAAATCTTCAGTGAATGAGACAAAGAAGTCCTAATATTACACTGCCATAAAGCCAGGCGTATCTTAATGATATATTAACTGATATTTAAAAAAAAATAGACGTGTTTATTTTCTCGTAGAAACAAGCAAGGTTTATAACCTTTTACATTTATAGCACACTTGATTACAGAAAGTGGAGCTAAAAAGAGCAGATAATGTCCCTAGAGTATTCAGGTGCGTGTGATACATCTAATGTTATAAAATATTAAATCAATCTGTCATATAATAAAGTGAAAATTTCATGAAATTTATCTCCTTTAAACATTACATTTATACTTAATACCCAAAGTAAATACTGTAATTATCTTATAATTTAATTTTTTTCTATATACTTGAATAATAATTAGCAATATTTTACATTGCAGTTTATATTGTCTACATGGAAAAATATACTGTATATACATGACGTAGATAATACGTAAATAATCCGCGTAGACATAATAATTTTAAAATTTACGGCATTGTCACTTGTTTGAAGATAGTCACGGATTGAAACGACAGCAATACGCAGTTTTTCGAACGATACGAATATTCTTTTCACCATTCGTAGTTCTGGAGACTAGCGTCAGATGTCGCACGGGGTCGCGCAAACGCCGCGAATTACACGCCAATCCGGAGGATGCGCGAGCAACGGCGCGGCTAGGCCGGGCGACGCGCATGCGCCGGAAATGCGCAGACGCCACCTCGCGGGGCCAGTCCAATCGCAGAAGTGATCCCGAGGAGTTGCTCGATAGTCGCGGCCGCCCGGTTTTCACGCGATTTTTCGCCGTTACTCAGGGCATCCTCGTTGCTGCTGCTCCCTGAAACAGACGTGAGTATCCACGAAGGGGTTCGCCGTGGCGGAACGACCGGACGATGTCGTAGTTGCGCCGGCTGCTCGACGTTCGCGAGACAACGCGGCGCGAGAAAGCCGAGCGACTTCGCACAGACGGTCGCGCTGACGGGTTCTGGGCAAAGATGGCCGTGCGTGATTTACAACAAACGGTTGAACGGCGCGCTCTCTTCGCGACTCGAGTCGCGCGCGTTGTCCCTACGTGACGTCGTCCGCGTCTCATCCGCTGCCTCGGGTACGTCCGTGTGTGCCTCGTTTCCCGGTGTCCGTATCGGTCTTCTCGGGTGAACGCGCACGTCGCGGCTGCGAGGGAGTCCAGCATGCCCAGTCTCCGCGAACGTATACGCGCATCGCACGTCACCGAACACGAATTGATTTTTTCGCGAGCGACCGCAACCTGCTCGGTTTGACGCGGTGCGCTTCTCGTACGGCTCCACCTCGTCGATCCTAGGCGCCACGCGCATCTTTTGGCGTACTTTCGGGTCGACGTACGGCGTCCTTGTCTTATTCGGCGACTTGCGCTCGCGGTACGCGATAAGACGGTCTTCACGTTGACAGATTGTCTCGATGCCGCACAATCAGCTGTCACCGAGCTGTTTTTCTCTCTCTCTCCCTCTCTCTCTCTTTTTTTCTCTCTCCTACTTTTGTCCGTCGATCGAGGACATGCGAGCGAGTCCGAGACCTCCAGAGACGTTCAGCACCACGATCGATCACCCGTGCCCTTTTATCGTCACCCCTTTTGCCAATTAGCGCGCACTCTGGGGGATGCTGCTATCGCGTCGCTTTCCTCCCCGCCGACAATGGCATTCCGCATTCCTTCGCTCAAGGGAAAGCGGCCCTTTCTCAGGATATCGTGTCGGTTTTCTGTGAGTGTCTTCGTACCTGAGGTCAGCATCGTAAGTTTCAACCATCTCCAGGGGTGGTTGATGCTTTCGACGCGCCGGTCAATGCTTTCTTGAGATTACGCTGGTCTCACTGAGTCATTGCCGCGTCGGTGTGTGTATGTGTGTGTATGCACTTGTTATAACATCGCTTCACTTCACTCCATCTCTCAGAAGTCATTCATGCTGCACTAAGAAAAAGTACTTGACATTCACATTTGTGGGATGTAAAGTTTATTTCTGTAAAATTATATATAAATGTAATATTCTGTAAAAAACTTACCCCACAAATAAATTTTCAGGTACTCTTTTCTCAGTTGTTTTCTCTTGATCTCAACTTTTCTTGTTGAATCATTTGCTTACAGGTATATAACTGATACCGACGACGAGTTTTCGTCACGGATAGAGACTCACCGGAGTCGATACGGGAGAAACGTGTCCGAGCTAACTTGACATGTATTCTCCGTTCTCGATAGAAGGACGATTGTACAAAACGTTATTGTCAGCTCCTCAGCTCTCACTTCCGTGTTTTGTTCTATCTCGCTCACACACTGCGGCTGTGCCAAAAACGCTGGTCTTGCCCAATTGCGCTTCGCCGTGGCGATTTGCATCCGCGTTACATCCTCGGGCAAACGAATCGTAGGTAGGTTCGTGACGGTCACAATTAGATCGCGATACCTCGGGGATAAGATAAACGATAAGACCTCAGATATTGTCGAGTTTCGCGCGCGTTAATTAACTTGGAGTGTCGTTCGCATTGATTCAGCGCCACACGAAGTCGCAACGCGTGTCGTGTCGCGATGCTCTTCGCGGCGAATCGTGGGATAGAAAGTGTGCGGTCTCTAAAAGTCGTTCTCCTGACTCGCTCGAGGGTCGGTCGACCGATGATCAGGTTCGCGGGCAGTCTGAAACACCAAACATCGAAGAAAAGTTTGATCTTATCAAACAACCACGTCGTGAGTCTTTTCTAAGCAACTTCTTTTTGTTGGGCAACCACGTGGCTTTATCAAGAAAAAGAGAGAGAGAAAAAGGCAAGGCGAGATTTTAAGGATCCTCACAATTCCAAAAACTCCATCATTCATCATATCTTCTTTTTCTTTTGTCTTTTTTCTTTCGTTCGTTTTCGGACACACAATCCTTTCCTGCTTCCTCTTTTCATGTATTTTCCAGCTCCCTTAACTGATCATCGATCCTGCGGCCGGCGAATGACGAATCCTCGCGTGTCACCTACGTAAGCTGATTAGCTTAGAAAAGCGAAGCCACAGGTAGATCGAAGCGTGCGTCGCGGGGTCAGGAAAGTCACCAGGCAGTCACTCACCTGGACCGATGATCCCGGAAACGTTGACTGTTACGGAACGTGTACCAACGATCGCGAGACCAATCAACGACTTGTAGAGAGCCGAGCTAACTGATAAGAATTTATAGCTGCGCGCGTCGTGAGTTTTAACTTGTATAATTGTGTCGCGGATCTTCACTAAACGTGAGTATCTGTGAAGCGTTTAACCACTCGCATAAAAAAATACACAAAAAACGAAGTACATAAAAAAAGTGAATGAGAAATGATCCCAATGCATTTACGTCAAACGTGCAAAAAAGCTTGACATAACAAATTTACGCGTGTTTGTGCCTCGAATCATATATACATACATTATATTTTTACTTGTTGCGTACTATATGTCATATTTATTGTATGTCTTAAAGCCCTTTCCGAAGGCAGGCGCATGTGATAGCTCTCGCGAAGGTCTCGTACTTTCAGCCGAGGACCTGTGACCATTTGAGATTGAATGGACGGACGAAACACTGCGAGGAATTCCCTGTTGTTTTCCGCGGCAGCACGCTGCGTTATCGTGTGCAAGGACATCGCGTCTTGAATTATACACTTCTCATTTATGCGTGAATTCATGACGTGTGTGCGATACTTTCAACTGCCCGCAGCGCGTGTGCGTTTACGCGGCCGTGCAGGCCGACAGTTCCAGTTCTTTCTTTTTCAACAAAGTATCGTACTTTCCGATGACTAATAAGTATCGCGTGTGTATCATTGCACTCGCGCGCTGTGTTCCATTCATGCCTCGGACACGCGGCCGCGACGCGGAATACACGTACCCGCCGCACATCATCATTCCATTATCGCATTATTGCATTTGCGCTCTCATCTGCCGCATTTAATCGCTCCCTGTAACTTTGTGCATTGAATTATTGCTCGATAAGTCGGCGCAGATTCCTCGCTCGCTCCCGCCCGGTGCAGAGCCCTTCCCCACGGCCACTTCAATCACATAGTATCGCACTTTTTAACGTTATACGACCGTGTCGAGGTAGAAGGAGGCCGGTATGAATATTTAAATGCACCGCAAGGCGAAAATATACGCGGCCGCTGGCGGGGTGGGCGTGCTGTGCCGGTTTATCGATCACGGCGCATCGTCGCGATAACCATCGCCATCGTGAGGCAGCGTCGCGACGACGCTGCGCCGACGCTCCGTGTGCGCCTTTACGATTGTCAAGGTCCTTCCTCCTGATTGTTTCCTTCTCCAGGCTAATGTTTTCGTCACACCCGCAATAACAGCCCGCGTTCCATAAATGTATTAATATTCTAAAAAGAGATTCATGTCTCGCTGTGTCGGCTCTATCAGCAGCGTGGAATAAACCACGGAATTTTATACATATATATGTACATACATACATACATACACATATATCGATTGCGTTTAATACTCACTTTATAAACGCGTAGATTTCAAATTTGATCTCTGCTGTTTTGGAATTGCAAGACGACGCGTAGCGGCTGGTATATCATTTATGCAGATAGACATGTCGTGTGACGCGTTCATATCAAGCTATTGAATTTACTGTGACTGCGTACCCGTAAAAAACTTTGCATTACCCACGTCGGTGTTGTGATTTCGAGCTTCACTTTTTACTGCCTTTCCCTTTCGCGTACTCTTCGTGCGGCGAAAAGTGCTATCGATCCCGGCGAAATCGCGCTTCAGACCTAAGCTCGTCGCCACAAAACGGCCGGCTTTCGTGCTCGCGACGAAAGCTCTCTCGCAAGTGATGCCGCGAGCAAGCGACACTGATTCCGCGAGCGAGCGACCTGCATCGGGTTTCTCCGACGATGGAAAGTAAAATAAACCACGACATTGATTTCAGGCGTATTGTACGCGCGCGTTATATTATCTCGCGGAAACAATTCGGCACGCTCGACTCTCGTGCGAGAGTTCCGGCCGCCTTTGCTTTTCTTTCCCGCGATACAGACAAATATGCGCGAGCAACGCACATCCGAGTGAGAGAAAATCAGCGGATACGATTGATACAGTCTATCTGTTAATATTTTATCGATGTTACATTAATAATGTATAGCTGATGCAATATTGATGAACAAATGTGTTCACACAATTGATAATATCTCAGCGGAGAGTTTATATTAAGTGTATTTATCATGTATAACTGACGTAATATTTCTTTTGTCGCAGGCAATGTCGATGGCAGGACAGTGAGTAGTCATTGAGAGGTGACTGGAAGTTCTAGTCGCGCTCCACGGAATCACCATCGAGGTATCAGCGAGGTCACACACGAGGATCATGAAAATGGTGCTGTCTCAACGTCAGAGGGAGGAGTTGTAAGTTGACTCTTCGCTCAATAATTCTCCCACGACTCGCTATTATTCCTATTTGCATGTCACGATGCATCTTTTCTCCTTCACGTCGCTTTTAACAGATGCTGGCTTCTCCTATTCTCTTTTACAGTTGGAAATACCGCTTTTCTCTCTCTCTCTCTCTCTCTCTCTCTCTCTCTCTCGCTCGCTCGCTCGCTTTCTTCCCACCCGACTTTCATAGGGGTGGCACGCGAATGCGTGCAGTCAGAGAACGGATCAATCGAGGAAATACACAAGGTTTCCCTCACCATCTCGCCGCCGCCAACGCCAAAGTTTCCAAGTTTAGCTTTTCTGCGGCTCTCGATCTTCGTTTTACCTGTGAGAAATCGTGGAGAACTACTTGGAAAATTTTCATCGCGAACGCACTCATTATCGCATTGTCGCAATTTTCTGAGCCACCTTGGCATCCTTAGGCCAGCATTGAGCATTGAGCTACAATGAGCTACAATGAGAACTGTGTAATTAGTTCGTTACATATTCTGCATAATCGTGGGCGCAACGGTATGCGGGTGCCCGTTCTATGGCGGTCGCTCTTGAATTTTCTCATACCTCCAGCCTTCGATTTCACACGGAGAGGCACGGCTGGCTGCTAAAGGCTTTGACGTATACATGAGTCACTCGAGACGTGCGAATAACGATCTCCGCGAGCCGAGGGTTCTCCTCAGCTCACGGGAGTGCTCGTGTGACTGTTTCCTGTGTTCGGACGCTGTCGTGCGTATACGAATCGAACAGCGCCGGTCGCTGTCATTATCTCGCTATGTCCCAATTCATGCTTATCTTCCGATGGAACGTACCACGTTCGTGCGCGACAGTGGTCATTTCTCTTCCCTCTCTCGTCCCCGACAGCCCGATAAAGTATTAAGACATCAGGGTCTCGCCTTCCCTGACCGCACGATCTCGATACGTCCGACATATGTTTAGAATAATTGCCGGACATTCAGTGTACAAATATTCATTCATTTCAATACAACATACAATGGAGAATTTGTGAGTTTATACACAAGACGTTATTGGAATTCCTCGATACTTTGAGTGCTCTTCTCCACGAGTTAAATACCGCGATTCCCACGAAATCTCGTTTTGGATCAAGCCAGTGTACGTATCTCGCTCTTCGATTATTCAAGGGACCGTATATAATTGATTCGCCGGCGCGTTTTACCTTTTTCCCGCATGTAGACGACAACGACGACGCGTTGAACGGGGACACCGGCATCGATTGTATCCTCGATCTATGCCGCTTAATTTCCTATGACGCAAAATCGCTCGTGGATCGTTCCTGCCAGGGCGCGTCATCGTGGGGGTGTCGGCGAGGAGGGTGTCTGTCGAGCACGCGCGAACTGCGGATCGATAACTTGCACGGAATGAAACGACGGTGGCGGCGGCGGTGGTGGTGGAGGAGGAGGAGGACCCGGAGCAACCCTTGGAGTGAAGGGAGAAAGAGAATGGGATTGAAGAGAGAGAGGGAGAGAGAAAGAGAGAGGTGGAAAGAGAAAATGAGAGAGGGAGAGCCGTAGCCCTCTCCGACTGGAAGGAGAGTCTCTCATCGATCAGCACAGGTGTCCCATTGCATCCATGTTATTTTCTCCAGTCCTCAGGGCTTACACACGTGTAACTTTTGGCAAACAAGCCAGGGCGTGCGACTTCCGGACTTCCTGTAAATTGAGACGGGATTGAGGGGAATGGCGAATTAGAATCGTCGAGAAAAACTTTTGGATGAAACCTTGTTAATAAGAGAACTTATGTCACGGTGATCCATAACTTTTTCAGTCCGGAAGACTGATATTGAGATTGATCGAACGAATAATCAGATGATACACACAAAAAAATATATATTGCGTTCGAATAAATTTTATTGCAGATACTTCATAAACTTACATATTCGCAATATTTATCACAAGATTTTGTTAAAAACATCAAATTTATTCCAGATATATTTTGAATCCTAGCAAGTTTAACATTTTTATCAAGAATATTAAATTAAAAGAAAAATTCGATTAGCTTAGTATACAGAGTCGAACCATTTTTTTCTTCGATAAAGTTTTCTAATATGTAAAGAGCCGTTCGAAATTGTAAAGAGGACAAATTCTTCTTTGAAGTGATAATGATAATGAAGTCTACCTAAGTTTGTGACGAACATATTTTATGAGACTTACTAAGAAAATCTTTTATGCTGAAGATAACCATTACTCAAAAGAAGAAAAGTGAACTGAGTGTAATAGTTTTTCTTAGCGGTAGAATCATATTTTTCTGTGTGTATACGAATGGGAAATATCGTAGTTTCGACGTTGTAACTTCAGTAACAGTAAATATGAATGAAAATGTTTGGAGGCGCAGCGTTCACGATACTTTTCATTGCTAGCGATTTATCCGCACATTGTTTTATGTGTATGCGTAACTGAGATTGAACTCTGTTTTAACGGAAGGCTTGCAATTGCAGACGAGAAAAAAAACGTCTCGACATAGGCTGAGAGCGTGTTCGCTCTCGTGAGGCTTGAACGTAATAGATACAGTGAGGCCAGGCGGTTTCACGGTGATGTCAGCGTCCGTTTTATGTGCAAAGGGCCAGACGGATGAATTACCTACCGTTTCCCGCCTTCTTCAGGTGTCCGTTTTCATGCAGATCACTTCGGATCCCGGAACGAGGATAATCGCCTTAGAACTCCTTCGATTCCGCACATTCTTCGACGACTCGCTACATGTTCCTCGCATAATTCATCGCACACTGCAACGCGCGAAAGAGGGAAAAAATGCACCTCTACTAAAGTTCTATTGTACCGTTATATTCGCTGCTGCTGCTGCTGCTGCTGCTGTTGCTGCTGTTACTTCTCCTTCCGACCTTTGTATACGAGCATCTCTCGTCGTATCTCGGTGGCGCGATCTTCTAGTCTCTTGCTCGACTATCATTCTATCTTTAATTTATGTAACGAACGAAGAAAGGAGAGGCGATAGATAAGAGCTACGCGGAGCACAGTTGATTGCTGCAGGTGTTTCTCGCATTTGTTATGTACTACTTGTGTTTGAGAAACATCGACGTGCATCACAGACACACGCTGTTTAATTCCGGGATGTACTCTGCTTGATAGAGTTACTTCTCTTCCTCGACCTTCTTGACACTCTTTGCAAGCGCATTACCTCCGATGAAATGCATTCTCGGATATTTATCGTACGCGCGTTCCGCACGAGTGATACAAACGCATTCCCGTTTCTCTCATGATGTCGTAGGAACTCGCGTAGGATGTCGCGAGTAGATCACCGGCGATTATGTATTCTCGTGAGTACGGGGCGAGAGAAAATATTTCCGCGCGAGAAAGTAAATATCCTCGGACTCGTGACAACGTAATTTGCAAATCGACTGAGAATATACAAATATCACGAGTCCGCTAAGTGAAATACTCGACTCTCTAACAAAGCGAATTCCAACGGTGGCTCTACACCTTGGCGGCTTTGGAATAAATTAAACCCTGCTCTCTCGTCCGCGTATCGATCATCAGCATTGCCGGCGAATTTCGAATGCCATAACTTTCGCATGGCTGCGCGAGAGCTGCCCCCGCGGGCGACGTCTCCGCGCCAAGAAACGATGATACGCTATTAAATATTGCGCGCAATAACTCTCCTCTTCGCGGTAGAGTGATTCGTCGTAACGAGATTATGCATCGTGTCTCTTCTTCGTTAATCAAATTCGTACAAATCGATATTAAATTCCACGATATTTAAGTCTCCATTCGAATCATTTCGTCCTGACGGTCTAGCTTTTAATCTCTTCAATCCAAATCTTTTCTTGTTTGTCTTTATAATTAATTGTTTAGATGTTATAATTAATTGTTATAATTAATTGTTCATTCATTGTTTAGATTGCGTCTTTGTTGAGAAATGCGTGCAATCAAATGTTTAACAGCAGGCAGTCTCTTGAGCGATATCTTTACAGTCTTTGAACTAAATTTTTTTCGTATATATCAAAGAATAGATTGGTAAAACATTTGAGATCCCCGCCGCGTCACTATAGTGGCTTCACGAATCGTATGACAACTTTTCTTTCAAGTTGACTTCTTATTCAATCGTGCAGAAACTTTTTTTGTATTAAAAATCATAAAAAATCAAATTTATTTTTGGGAAAATTATATAAAATATAATATGATAATAAAAGTTTTTATATCTCAAGTTTTTCTTTTTACTGACTCGTGTGGAAAAAGTGGATAATAATAATAGTAATAATAAAATAATAAATAAGAATTGCAGTGATATTTCACAAAATTGCTGCTACGCGCAATCACTATATGGCTTCCCGGATTGTAAGGGTTAAAGAATGCAATTCCTCCTCGAAGAGTTTTCCAACGCATTTCGTATCCAATAGGAGAATTTATTTCTTTAGTAATTCTCAGGAAACGCATTTTCCTACGGGATGTGCGTTACGCAAAACTCCTTAAAGAGAAGCATCGCAACTTTTAACCATCTGACTGATCTCAGCTTTATCTATCTTAGGAGATGAGTGATTCTCGACGATCAATTGTTCAGATCACACTCGAGTGCTCGATTCTTCAGGTCGCCAGTCCGTCATTTTCCATCGCGCGTTCTCGCGCGAGCTCGATGAATCGGCAGGAATGTTCGAGGGACGACAGGTGAGTGCCTTCCGCACTCACGGAGACAATGATCCCTGCCTCCCTACCTCCTTGAACTATTCTTCTCCACTTGTACAGAGCGCGGTACACCTGCCGCCGCGCAGCAGGCGTCATTGTGCGTGCGCGATATGAAGTTTCTCACCGCGATGTGCTTCTTACGAATCGCCTCTCTGTCATTATCCGCATTTGTGATTCCCTCTGAATTTTCCGCGAATCACGCGCGTAATTAGCCGCGCGCACAAATTACGATATTACAGCGCTCGCTAAGACCCCGCATTTATGGCGTTCTAAGCTCATTATACTCTGACTGCAATTAGCGACGGATAAATCTCATTAGTTGCCGATGGGAATCTCCAGCGTTTCACGAAGAACGTTATGAAATTATTGATACGCCGGTGTTCTCTTTCTGTGACGCTCGAAATTGTTCACCGCTCGCCTGAGCTATTGGGGTTTGTGTTACACGCTCGTTTACTATTGATCATGTGGAATTTCATGGCGGGTGAACCCTTAATTTACCATGCTAGCAGCTAACATATAATCGAGATTGACTCTTGCAAAAATCGGAATGTTTTCATAACTTACGTCTCACTAACGGCGTCGCACGAATTGCATTATTACAAACATTCTCTTCTACTGAAATTTTCATTGAAGACTCTGGGCAGTTTGTGAGTTATGAATTACAGAGATTTCTTTGGAATTTTTTTACCAAGAAATTGTAAGACACATTTCTAACTGTTCATTTCTAACTTTATTATATCTTGAGAAAGTTACATGATTTTTTTCTTAATTGGAACTCTTATATTAATTGAGTTGCAGGGCGCGGTGCAATACGCTCGTGTCCTGCTGGTATGCACGATACAGCCGCTTGTAGTGATCTGAAACAGAAAAGCGAACAAGATTCTTATGTTATATGAGGGTTGCTATCGCTTGAACTAGGATCATCAGACTGAACCAAGATTTGACAAAATAACAGGATCGAAAAACAAGTTAAGCGGATCATAATTTGTTAGGAGATGCAATTTTGCGTGTATCAGGTTGCGTGTGATTTAATTCAATGCAAGGTGTATTAATTTGTACGAGTGATCTTTATCTTTGGCATGCTCGATGATATATTTCAGTATTCTCAGTTTCAGTCCCGCGTTTCCCAGAGAAGTGTTCAGTCCTGCCGTAGAATCAGAGTGCGAAGAATGAGTTTGTTCATTAAAATGAATGAATTCAGAGCATACACCGAGGCGGAAGTAAATAGAGGGAAAGAATCGTCAACGCGTGGTGCAGCGAACGGTACCGCTTTCCGCTCAGGCGAGAAATAGCTTCGCGCTTCTCTCCTCTTTCTTTTTCCGTGATACACCTGCGATGTAGAATCGCTTATGCTCTTGTGTGCCACGCGGCGGCGAGTTGTTGCAAAACAACGAGAATCAGTCGGCGGTGCAAGCGCGGCACAAACCGTAGCGATAATAATTCGCTATCACGGGGAGAGTCAGGTGAATAGAGACGGACGGACGGACGGACGACCGACCGACCGACCGACCGACCGACTAGCGAGGCCTTTCACCCTGGCACAAGTTTGCCCGACTTTCAATCTCTTTCCCACGTATCCGACAACCTGCGGCCTCCTCGTTCTCCTCCTCCTCCTTCTCCTCCTCCTCCTCCTCCTCCTCCGCTCATTGTATCGGTACGCGGGCATAGCATTTTATCTTTATCTACGTCATAAACAGACGGCGATCAGTCGGCCGACCACCAACGCGAAACAATTGGAGATTAAAGCTATCGTACAACACACGTTGCTCGCACTCCCCCTCGCAATCTCCCGCAGCCGTACCTGGTGAGAAAATGAGTACCGATGAGGAACACTTACGTCGAAAGTAAAGTTCGACGAGTTTCTCTCACGTATGCGTAGAAAATTCATATAATTAATGCTACTTCTCATAAGAGCACGTTTCTACATGCTTTCAGAAATAAGGCGATCGCGGATTACCTTAGCACCAATGGCTATCAAGATGCACTGGAGGCATTTAAAAAGGAAGCCGACATGCCGGGGGAGGTGGAGAGGAAATACGGGGGTCTCCTTGAGAAGAAATGGACCTCGGTCATACGATTGCAGAAGAAAGTACGAGTCCCTTCCTTTCCTTATTATACAGTTCGAGAAAAGTTTTTTCGATTGCATGCGCAGAAAAGATTCTATATATTCTCTCTACATATATATATATATATATATATATATATATATATATTCTCTATATTAATTCAAGTCTCTTCTCGAATTCACTCAAGAAATATTCTTTCCCGCAGGTAATGGAACTAGAGTCCAAACTCTCCGAGGCGGAGAAGGAATTTATAGAAGGCGCACCGACGCGCGGCAAGCGATCGCCGTCCGAATGGATACCGAGGCCGCCGGAAAAGTACAGTCTGACTGGACACAGAGCCCCCATCAATAGAGTTATTTTCCATCCGGTTTTTAGTCTTATAGTATCCGCCAGTGAAGATGCTACCATTAAGGTGAGGTTCCAACGAGCGTTTTACTAGCCAGCGACGTTCTGGCGCTCAGAATACGGCTCGAGTTCCTCACATTCACGTCGCTCGTCCCTTATTCAGGTGTGGGACTTTGAGAGTGGCGAATTCGAGAGAACGCTGAAAGGCCACACCGACAGCGTGCAAGACGTCGCGTTCGATGTCTCGGGCAAGCTGCTCGTCTCTTGCAGCGCGGACATGTCCATCAAGCTGTGGGACTTCCACCAGTCGTTCGCTTGCGTGAAAACCATGCATGGCCACGATCACAACGTCAACTCCGTCGCGTTTGTGCCACAGGGTGATTTCGTAGTAAGCGCCTCTAGGGATAAAACCATCAAGATCTGGGAGGTGGCGACGGGATACTGCGTGAAGACGCTCGTGGGGCACAGGGAGTGGGTAAGAATGGCGCGAGTCAGCCCGTGTGGCGAGCTCATCGCCAGCTGCTCAAACGATCAGACTGTTCGTGTGTGGCACGTAGCGACGAAGGAGACCAAGGTAATTCAACGAGGCAGTTCTTTTCGTAGAAAAGCATAGCATACGATTACATTTGTTCAGAGAAGTTCCTTATTGAAAAAAAGCATTTTGTTTGAACACGCACTAAGTCAGAATTCCGCGACAATCCCACGATTGTTCTTAATGCAAAACCGTTGATCGATCACCAGGTCGAGTTCAGAGATCACGATCACGTGGTGGAGTGCATCGCATGGGCACCGGAGAGCGCAAGAGCGTCGATCAACGCGGCGGCCGGAGCGGACAACAAAGGTGCGCACGAAGGACCCTTCCTCGCGTCTGGTTCTCGAGACAAGATGATTCGCGTGTGGGACGTCGGCGCCGGGGTGTGCCTCTTTACCCTCGTCGGACACGACAATTGGGTACGATGCATCGTCTTCCATCCTGGCGGCAAGTTTATCGTCAGCGCGTCCGACGATAAAACGCTGCGAGTCTGGGACACGCGCAACAAACGAGTGATGAAGACCCTCGAAGCGCACGTTCATTTTTGCACCTCTGTCGGTTTGTATCTTTCGCTTCCTTTCAGTTCTAATCAAATATCTCTATGGGATTTTCGACAATAAACCGTTATTAGTGGATCAGAGAAGTCAGAAGCGAGTTGTAAGGGAGCCACTGATGTATCATAAGACAATAACAAGTCAGTAATTAGTGATTGCATGACCAAATTCTATTTCTTACGGGTTAAAAGTTATAATTATCTTGTAACTGACCGATCAAAGAGCAATATAATGAATGAATCCGTCAGTTTTATCGAGAGAACTGACCAGAACTGGCTGAGAATTGTCTTTCTTTTAATTGACTGAAATATCGTGACGCAACGATCTACTATGACTCATTGTATGATGACTTCTGACTTACTATCAGTGTGAGATATGAGCGACGACTAACGGCTTATTGTTGAAAGTCCATATCTCTTTAATTTCGTTAAAACGCTAGTAGCCGATTTATTTACTTATAATGCACGCACTGTAGATTTCCACAAGAGCCATCCTTACGTGGTCACCGGGAGCGTCGATCAAACGGTGAAGATTTGGGAGTGCCGCTAGTCACCGAATTTTAGATTTTCTGTCAGACGTCGTGTGGAAAAGAACGGACGTAAAGAAGAAAAAAAAGAAGAAAAAAAGGAGAAAAAAAGAAACGAGAAAAGACGAACGCGCGTCCATTTTTGATGGAATCGGCCGAACGAGTAAGCTGCTACAAAAGCTATCGTATACATGCTATTAATATTATTATTATTATATATAAAGAAAAACACATAAACACGTATGATTAAGAGCTCTTTAATTAATTTATAATAAAGTATAATTAGAGTAATTATTATAATATTATAAACATCGTTTTACGGCAATGAACTGCACTAAAAATCGAGGAGAGTGAATCGAGAGAGACGGTCAATAATATAAGGATCAAACGATCGAGAGGACGCTCACGAGTTCTCGTTACGACCTACGGCTACGTGGGGTTATCAATGCCATATACAATTATACAAGAGTTATAATTCCTTTTAGACAGTTGTGCAATCGTAGGCATTATTCTGTACATATACGTGTCTTCGCGCAGCGTGAAATTCGACGAGTCGATGATCGATGTACGAGCCGCCGTTTGATTTTCTCTTCTCGCCCGCTTGTTACTCGCTAATATGTCCGTTGAACTATCAGTTACCAGCTGTCACACACGAGCAAAGAGAGAAAGAAGATCGTCCTCCTCGATTATGATCTTGTGCGAATGAGACGTGTCGAATCTCTTTTAACTTGTCGACGGTGGCGAAAATTTCGGCTGTGGCGTCACCCTCCGCGGTAACCGGTAATTCGTTGTCAATATATCTTTGCGCGCTCTCCTCGAGAGTTCTTGAGAGAATAAAGAAGAACAGAACGCTGCTCCTTCTTCACTCATATGTATATATATTATGTGTATATGTATATATACACATAAATAAATATATATATGTATTTGAACATATACACACCGAAACACGAAGTACACACACGATACACACACGTATTAGACGCGCAGAGCGTCTTTGTGCAAAGTACCGAGTGTCAATGATCGTCTAATATCGGCTCACGTGTACTCTTGATAAGTATTGAGTTGTCACACCTATTGTCGCATTAATGAAGAAATTCGTTTCGTGGGACACGTAACGCGTAGCTCGTAAACGAATAAAGATGACGAGTAAGAAAGACGAGATAACGATGCAAAAACTGTCGCAGTCGAAAACGGGAAAACTCTCGTTACATGCCTGTGTAGCGGACTCTGTCGAAAGAACGTGTCCCTTGGCTAAGATGTGTATAAATTCCATTATATTACATATATTTATGTATAATCGAATCTCGTGGAGCCCGTAAGATGTCGATCGTAATTTGTTCGTAAAGGACTCGCAAGCATACACACGTGGTATTTGATAATTCAATTTTTGTCTTTGAGAAATGTAAACTTTGAGAAGCGAGAGAGAGAGATCACTCTTAAAATAAAAAAACGAGGTTTAAAATAAAAAGAAAGCGTGCTCAAACGAATAATTACGAGAATGGAAGATAGGTTTCTCGCCACGTACTTGGCGTCCAATCACCGTGCATTATTAATAATAACGATATATATATATATATATATATATAACAATAGGCACAGCCGAACATATATATATATATATATATAGAGAGAGAGAGAGAGAGAGAAAGAATGCAACATTGTGAAATTTAAGGCATTCGAGCGATAAGCTGGTGAAAGATTCGCGCGTAAACTGTAACGCATATTACATGTACGGAAGTTTTAGAGCGCATTAGTTCATTGCGTGGGTTCCAAGAGAGTTACTAGTTGTACTTTTTAGTTCTAACTACTATTTAGCGGTAGCGCAGACATAAAATGTAGACGATAGAAAAAAGCATAAGGGAATAAACTGAAAGAGACACGAGAGTAATTAACGGTTGATCGACACACACGACCACGAGACACGTCCGATCTTCAAGGCATCGATCAGAGAAATTATTATTATTACCTTTGCATACGTGCGAAAAGAAAGAAAGAGAAAACATGCAAATCATTAATCGACAAAACGCGCTTGACTAAGGGTGATCTTTTCAAAATGGTACACTCACTGTCTGCTATCTTTTTTTCCTACTGTTTCTCCCTCTCGTTCAGCTTTCAGCCAAGTAAGAAAACGATCCCTCCCCTGAGATACCCCTCACTTAATGTGGTACTAAATTATTTTGATGAATAATAAACAGAGTTGTCACTGAGTCGTGTGATCGTTATGCTATATACATCACCTATGATTCACACATCGCTTCTCAGAGCAGCGTAATCTCTCTTTCTCTACGTTTTGCCGGTCTCGTCGTTTTTAATTAATTCGTAAAATTGGTTGCGAATGCGCAATTATTTTCCGTTGCCCGCGAGCTAGAATTTTCGTAGTCTCTTGATTGAGAGAGCAGCAGTAGGCTTAAGTCTCTAAAAACTCTGCAAGTACGTATTAATCTACATGCATGACAGTATTTTATAGTACGATTAGGGCAAGAGCTAGCAATATAGTATTGTAAGTGAGAACGCATTACCAAACACCTATTGTGCGTGTTTATATTACGTAGATGATGTAATAAAAGTTATGTTATTTGTCGCCTTTCATAAATTCGTCACGATGGCTTCTGCGACTCTTTCGCTTTCTACCTGCTTGGGAAATGATAATACCAACAAGTAGTTCTATAATAAAATACTCTTCGTCGTTTGTGATATGTACACACACCATACACACACATATATATATATATACACATACACGATTGGCGGCCGTTTAATGAGATCCTAGAAAGCTAAGAGCTCCTCTTGTAGAAAAAAGCATTTGTCTCTAATTACTGTTATAACTAACTAAATGAATAATTCGCAATATTATATATTAGTGTCATCGCGTATTTACTGAATGATTTTCGGACAGTTCTAATGGAAATTAGTATAATTATTTAACTTGATAATTTGAATATTAATACATTTTATCTCTGAGAAATATTTGTATGCAGTCACACGGAACTGTGTTGGGAAGGAAAGTAATTAATTATTTGAATTCTTTAGAAATGGAGTCACATTGTCTAATTGAACAGATACATGTAGTTGATATATAGTTTTGTAATACGAAGAATTTATTTAGCAATTATCGTCAAAATCAGGATTACACACAGTTGATAATGTCAAAATTCGGACTTACCGATAGGGAAATACGAAACATGCGCGGGAACGTGGACGCCATTTTGGCACAATCTTCCTTTGTGTACACGAGGAACATTAAGTCGACAATTTATTGCAATATTTGTAATCTCATCTTGAGTTTCATCTTTGCTTCTGTGATATTTCTTTGCAAATTTGTCGCCTTTAAAGATCGACTATTTTTGTGATCTCACAAGGCGATTCCACTAATTGATGCGAGCCGGCGAAAATGGGTTAGTGGTTGTTAGCTCTGTTCAACGTAACGAACATCGTGCTGAAATCTTTCATACGTCACATTTCACATCTGCATTATTTAACGTGCTTCTGATTTCCAACGAAAAAAATATGAGTCAAACCGAGAAGTCATCACAGGAGCGTGCGTCACAAGCAAGCAGCCTGCCCGACACGCAAAATGTGGACTCGCAATTTTTAACACAATCACAAGAAAGAATTAGCCAGCAACCAACATTGACTGTCTGGGGAAGATTGTATTCAATACGATCATGTTTCCCAAATCTAAGTATGTATTTATGTTTACGTAGAAACGATTTATATAATGTATATTACAGAAAGGATATAATTAAAAAAATGGAATAAAATATAGAATTAAAAGTATCTTAATATATTGTCTATGTCAAGTCACTCGCACAATACACAAAATTTTGTAAAAAAAGTATTGCTTTTTATTTTCTTTATTCAAACTTTTTTAGATATGTCCGGGGATGTGTATACTCTTGGACGTGCTGAGACTTGTGACATTCATGTAACTTCGCAATTAATGAATAAACAATGGTTAAATGCGGTCAGCAAGGTACACTTTCGCATATATAGAGAATGTATTAATAACACAAATGAAACTGTAGTGTATCTTGAGGATTTGAGCTCCAATGGAACTTATATTGATAAAGTCAAGGTTGGTTGTGGAAATCGTGTCATTATTGACAATAATTCAGAAATTTCATTGTCCACATCTTCATGTACAGGTAATTATGCTATATATAGTAGAATTATTGCAAAGACTGTTTAAATATATAGATATAATGATTAAATTATTGATATAATAAGTTGATTAAGTATATAGATATAACAAAGATCAATTAAATCAGTTTACAGGTTTGAAAATGTTCTTAAGCCTGAAAATAATACTTTACCATTAGAACTAAAGCAGAAATATGCGCTAGGCCGCAAATTAGGATCTGGTGCATGTGGCGAAGTTCGGCTAATATTTACAAAGGATGGCACAAAACAGTTTGCTCTAAAAGCCATCCAAAAATGTGATTTTGATATTACTGGAGCAAGAAATCAACTTAATGACCCTGTTAAAATAAAAAATGAAGTGGAAATATTAAGAAAATTGGAACATGTAATAAACATATTTAATCTTATTGCATTGTTCTCTAATAGTTTCATAATACAAATGTTAATAAAGATATGTTTGTTTTAGCCTTGCATTATTCAAATGAAGGATATACATGATACACCAAGAACAGTATATATTGTGCTTGAATTGATGAAAGGTGGAGAACTTTTTGAAAAGATAAGAAGCAGAGGCAAATTATCAGAATCATTTACTAAATTGATCTTTTATCAAGTCATACTTGCTGTTCGTTATCTACACAAGCAGGATATCACACACCGAGACTTAAAGGTATCAGAATATCATTTTTTATGGTTAAAAGTTTTTGTAATACTAGATTAAAAAAAGTGTGTGTGTGTGTGTGTATCATGAATATACTTTAATTTTATTGTACAATAATTTCATAGCCAGAGAATATACTCTTAGCAGACAATTCTGACATTACGGTAGCAAAAGTATCTGATTTTGGACTTGCAAAATTAGTAGATGCTCAGACTATGATGAGAACATTTTGTGGGACTCCTTTCTATGTTGCACCTGAGATTTTAAGTAACCTTGGACGCATCTCTTATACAAATCAAGTATGTATCAATATGTTTCAACATAATATGATAAATAAGGATGATTTAATTCTTTATTAAACTTTGGATTTTTTCTAGGTTGATGTATGGAGTCTAGGAGTGATATTATATGTTTGCTTAGGTGGTGTACTACCTTTCCATACACAAAATAAAATGTCTTTAGAAGTACAGATAAAAAATGGATTATATGTTTTCCCCAAAACATGCTTTGGACATGTATCAGAAGAAGCTATAGATCTGGTATATATAATAATCATCAATTATTAATAATGCTCCTGATATTGTAAGTTTAATGAAGCGTTTTTACGTTTTTTTTTTTCAGATCAAGCGTATGATGACTGTTGACCCGAAAAAACGCATAACAGTCCAACAGATTTTGCAACATTCTTGGTTGAGAGATTCGAAAATGCGAAGAACTGTAAATTCGTTGATATCTCTAGATGATAACGAGAACATACCACCTTCGAATATTTATAGAAAACGTCCCGAGATTTATTTGCCTCCAGAAAAACGTGTGCGGCTTACACGTAACAGTATACATTTGACAGGAAGTACATGAGAATACATTTCGAATGTCTTCCAACTAAAAGAAATAGTACAAAAGAAATATATAATATTTTCTTAGCATCATCTGATGTTTCATTGATCTTGTGATCTCATAGATTGTTACCTATTTACATATAGAATAATTTCTGCTCTGATAAATGCATTTAAAGAATGCCTATTCAAAGTATATATTCAAAGACCAAAACATTCAATTCGTTTGCAAAAAAAAATACAGAGTACCCGCTGGTATTAAATAAATTTTATTAAAACTACAAAATATAACTGTGATTAATATAGTATACGATAACTGCATAAGGACGGTGATATAAAATATTTACAATTATCGAATAACTTTATTTTGATTCTGACGAGTATAATGGAAATTATACGATTTTATTGTATTCAGGATATTTTGTATATAAGATGATATACAATGCGTTTGTGAAAATTATAAGTTACACAAACAGACTTATTTACTATAATTTTTTATTTAAGATTTTCAAAGTAATAATAATACAATTACGAAACCATAGTATTTGGGTTTAACGCTGTATGTGTGTGCAGAGAATATATAAAAATATTAATTTGTTTCAATGTACAAAACTACCACCTTGTGCTACAGACTACAGCTTGTATGAGCTTTCACACAGCGACAAAATAACTTTGTTATTGTAAATACGAAGTTCTTTACTCAAAATAATAGGCAATGCCACACAATAAATAGGAAGACATTTAGTGAGTCGTATCATACTTTCAATCCTTTCTGCACGCGTACTGTTCCTTACCATGGCAAGGATCCGGAATTGGCGTCTCAATATCGGGTTTCTCTTTCTGCATAAGTCCGGCCAGCAAACCTTTTAGCTGCGCTATCGCTTTGCCTGGATTTAGGCCCTATCAAATACGCGGTAACATAAATATGTATGGATCGACGAATAGAAATTAATCTACGTTTAAACGTTTTGTGTCTTCTGGACGACTTGGAGCACTCAAAAGTATATTGGTGCATGAGTATTTTCGTGACACAGGAAATGTAATGACGAGTGACAACGATGAGACTCACCTTCGGGCATGTTTTGGTACAATTGAAAATCGTGTGGCATCGGTAAACCGAGTAGAAGTCCCGTAGTTTTGTCAGCCTTTCTTTATGTGCCAAGTCCCGCGAATCTATTACCCACCTGTATGCCTAGTAATTTAAACAAAGTTGTGTATACCATATGTACAAAGTAAATTTTGTGTTTTTTTTTTTGTTAGAAAAACAATTGTTATATTTATTAACTTATCAACTGAATTCTAAAACTTGATAAATTATTAATTCATTTCTGTTACCTGTAGAAGAACCGAAGGCCCCAAATACTTGTCGCCGAGCCACCAGTAAGGAGGACACGCGTATGTGCAACACGCGCACATTATGCATTCGTATAAACCGTCGAGCTTCCTCCTGTCCCGCGTGCTCTGCAAGACTTGCCGCACACCGAGGAAATTTTCCTCACCCGGACGCTTTAGGTACGGATTGATTTCTCGAAATTGATCAAAGTACTGTCCCAAATCCGGTATCAGATCTCGAATCACATAAACGTGCGGTAAAGGGTAAATCACCAGCGGTTTCGGGGATTCTCGTATTTTCCTGGGAATTTAGGCGATTTTTTAAACAAAATGTTAAACCCTATTCAAAAAGATTTTAACCTGAGTGTTTTCTTTAGGAAAGAGAGAAAGAACTGTGCATAGAGAATAATTTTGTGTTAATATATAGTATATAGTTAAAGTGTAGTGTGTAGATAATTCCACGTAAAAGTGATTAATCGTTGGATTAATCATTTAAACAATTTTAGATATCCAAATATCTCTAAATGCCCTAAAAACTCCAAACTTTAATTATGCAAACATTTAAGATTTTAGATATCCGAAATGCTCTTCAAACATACATAAGTACTCTAAATCACCAGAAATACATCAAAATATCCAAGAAATCTCATCAATCCAAAGAATTCAAAATTCCTGCCATCTAATCCATCAATGCCAAAAATCACGGTGATGAATTAATTACGTTATACAAGCTAAGGTATTGACGCCGTTTATGTTCATCGAGCAGTTCCCGCAGATGCCTTCGCGGCAAGATCTTCGGAAAGACAACGTTGGATCGTGTTCAGCTTTAATCAACGTCAACACGTCCAACACCATCGTGCCGCATTTGTCCAGGTCCACGGTGAACTGTTGCATGTACGGCTTCACCTGCGGCTTTTCCGGATTCCATCGATACACGCGAACAGTCTGAAGTCTCGGCCTAGCCTTCGAACTCTGAAAAACCAATTCCATACAATAGTCTCTTAATTCAAATTTTTTTAACCTTTTATAGAAATTTATAGAAATAATCTCTATTTTTATCTTTTTATGCAAGAATAATCGAAGAGATACTTCTTCGTGCAACGAAAAGCTTGACCCAATAGATTATCCTATATTCTTCTGTTATAGTCTTATGTATTTGGACATAGAACTAATTTGGACATATGACTAACTTTCGGAGGCGTTTTGCACTCCTTGATTCCCGCGAGATCGGCAGCTATCGCTTCATTCTCCGGCGACGGTTTTGAGGTCTTCTGGGTCGATGTCAACCTCGTTACGCGAATGCGCGCGAGTCCATGTGACCATAAAAGCCGGCTCGCGAGTCTGCCGTTCACGGTGGTGAACATGACCACTCGCTTGAGCAACTCGTCTCTGCCACCTTCTCGTCCACGCGATTATCACTTCGAGGACAATACTTTTGTATTATCACGTTGGGCTATTATTTCAATCATTACGTGTCATTGCGGTCACGTTCATATCTGGATACGAACGTCATTCAAACAAAATATCATCTAGCGGGCGAACTTCGCGGACAACTCGCAGCGAATTTGTGTCAATTAATGATCGATATGTGTTGTTTTCAATAATTTAGGTTTGAATTCATATACTTTCTGAATTCATTTACTTTCATATTTTTTCTTTCATTTACTTTCATCCTTATTAAACCTTGATATTATTTCCACCGGAATGCTTCCTTTCTTTTTAGTGCCGAGATATTTTCTTTTGTACATAGAATATAAGATATATTCTAATTGCTTGAACACGCCACGAATAGAATGTGACATCTCTAAAAATCATATTTCAATTTATTAATCTCTTTTATACATGGCGCGCGTCTTGCATGGTTATCGCAACCGTAGCTTGTAGAGATGTTTTCTCAAACCAATAAAAGAGTTCAGATAAAGTAGCATTGAGACACAAATTCTCTCGTAAGCGGCACATTGCTCGCTATAATACAAACATGTTACAACAATCTCGATAAGTGTGACGTGCGCGGCCTTTGACCGCCGAATAATCTGAGAATACTATCTTTACGGATTGTATAAAGTTTCCTCGAAAGAACGATATGCCCGCACATATAAATTCACTAACATGTGCTAGAGGAAGGAAGACACAGAAATATTGCTTTTTTAAATTATTTTTTATTGTTCAAAAATATTTTATAGTTCTTGAATATGTGTTGATAAAAATTAATTAAACAATTCCTATTATAATAAATTAAAAAATTAAAATAATACACAGAGAAAGAAAATTATAAATATGATATAATGAGAAAATATTTGGACGCATATTTTATAATAATAATATTAACACGCATATTTTATAATAATAACGTAAATTAAGGCTTTTGTCGGAATTCCGACAAAATATATTTCAAAAGGTCGTTATGTCATCAAACGAATGATCAATTGGTTATAATAGACAAGTCCCCCGCGGACAACAGGCTGGCTTCATTGCGCAAAGAACGATTGGTGGATCCAGTTATCGTATTAGCTTTCGCCGATGCACTGAGAGTAGTCACGCGAGCGCATTCGCGGTCTTCAGTCACGTTTCAACCACCTGTAGAATCCTACTTCATTTGAAAGATAGCGCGTTGTCGAAAAGCTTCGTGAATCATCTGATTACTTGTAACGAAAACTGAAAGCATACAGTTACAAACAATTAACACTAACTGCAAGTGTCTTTATCGTGCATTATATACAGTTTATCTATTAAAAACACGTGAATACCTCTAATAATAATTTTTTTATATTATTAAACTTTGATATTACATAATAATTGTTAGTGTCTTGCAATGATAGTGAATAGAGATGAAAGTTTAAAGATTATTATGATATTTGCTAATATATAAAGATATTGTCAACTTGTAGATGATGCAGCATACAATTCTTGTTATTGGTAGCGGTGGTAGAGAACATGCAATATGTTGGAAACTGTCTCAGTCATCACATGTGTGTATTTATCAATAATAAAATGATAAATTAAAAAATTTTATATTCTTAAAATAAAATTATATTCTGTAACACATGTATCTTGTTTGGTACAGGTAAAACGAATTTTGGTTGCCCCAGGAAATGCTGGTATCAAACTAGTGGATAAAGTACAATTAATTGAATTAGATATTAAGAATACAAAGGTTAAATCATACTACTATTGTAATTTTTTATTTCCTCAGTCTTATAATATTAATCAGTAACTTTTTTCTCTTCATAGGAAGTTGCCAGATGGAGCAAGGATAATAATATTGATTTAGTTGTGGTTGGACCAGAAGATCCTTTGTCTCAAGGTTTAGCGGATGATCTAGGCAATGTTGGAGTAAAATGTTTTGGACCGCAGAAACAAGCAGCCCAAATTGAGGCTAATAAAGATTGGGCAAAACAATTTATGGACAGACATAATATACCTACTGCTAGATGGCAAGGTTTTACATCAGCTGTAGATGCACAGAAGTTTGTTAAAACGTAAGTAAAAGGTTATTTAAACAAGGAAATTTTGATGAAATGGAATAGCAAGTTTTTTTTCTGTTAGTGCTCCATTTAAAGCACTTGTGGTGAAAGCCTCGGGCTTAGCTGCTGGTAAAGGTGTTGTTGTTGCCAAGGATCAACAAGAAGCTTGTCAAGCAATAGATGAAATATTAACTAATAAGAAATTTGGAGCAGCTGGTAATATAGTTGTCATAGAAGAACTTTTAGAAGGCGAGGAAGTATCTGTACTTGCGTTTACAGATGGTACATCAAATCATATTTATCTATTCCTAATTACTCTCTCGATATAATCAACATATTTATAAATAATTTCTTGAATTTTTTATTGAGGTAAAACTGTTGTGCCTATGATGCCTGCACAAGATCACAAAAGGATTTTTATTGGAGATACTGGACCAAATACAGGTGGAATGGGTGCTTACTGTCCATGTCCACTGTTAACTGAAGAAGATTATGAACAAGTGAAAGTAAATGTTCTTCAAAAAGCTGTTAATGGGCTCAGAAAGGAAAACATTCCGTTTGTCGGTTTGTAATATTTATTCGATTATTATGTTATTAGATTACATGAGTGAATTTTATCTATATTTAAAAAATATTACAGGTGTACTGTATGCTGGTTTGATGTTAACTAAGGATGGCCCTAAAGTCTTGGAATTTAACTGTAGGTTCGGAGATCCGGAAACGGAAGTAGTGTTACCGTTATTGACATCAGACTTGTTCACAATTATGAAGGTACAGTTGACAATAATTCTCAAGAAAAATCAAAATACTCGTATTAGTAATTTTATTTTCCTGTTAACATCTGATTACATATGATTACATATGATTACAGGTTTGTTGCGAGGGAACTTTAGACGCGTCTCATGTTACATGGCAAGAAGATGTATTCGCTGTTGGTGTGGTTTTGGCGTCTCGTGGTTATCCAGCGACATCGTCTAAGGGTCAAGTTATAACTGGCACATCTGAAATATCACGTAGACAGGACCACTTCGTGTTCCACTGCGGAACGGCTATTTCAGAAGGCGATTTAGTGACTAACGGTAATTGCACACAATAAAGTTATAATTGTATTAAAGAGACTTAAAAGGAAATCTATGTAAAAGTATATACTGTAAAGTACTTATACACGTAAACTATACTTGTACTTGTAAAGCTGTATTAATTATGACATTATCTTTACAGGTGGAAGAGTTCTTATTACCGTGAGCATCGCACCGACCTTAGCGTTAACGGCAGCCAGAGCTACACAAGCTGCAGAACATATATCCTTCGACGGAAAGCAATTCAGGACGGACATTGCGCATAAAGGAATCGCTAGGTGCAACACTTTATAGACTTATTTTTCAAAATTAATATAAAATCAATGACATAAAATTAATAAATCGAACGTTTCAGAGCTATCTTGCAGAAAGGATTATTAACGTATAAAGCAGCAGGCGTAAACATAGACGCTGGCGACAATCTCGTATCGGCTATCAAACCAGCCACTTGTTCTACTAAACGTTCTGGTACTTTAGGATCTATTGGCGGATTTGGCGGTCTGTTCGATGTAAAAGTCGCGGGTTATAAGAATCCTATTTTAGTGTGCGGTACCGATGGCGTTGGTACTAAATTAAAGGTATATACTAAGCCTGAGTAAAATTATCCAAAATTGCTAGTTACTCTTATAAGTAATTTTCTCATTACAGATAGCATTTGAATGCAATAAACATGACACAGTAGGTATAGACTTGGTAGCCATGTGCGTGAATGACATTCTCGCACATAACGCGGAGCCGCTATTTTTCTTGGACTATTTCGCATGCGGCAAGCTCGATGTCGGGGTAGCCACGACAGTTGTGAACGGAATAACCGAGGGTTGCAAATTGGCAGGATGTTCTCTGGTAATTAAATAGTGACATGATACTTATTACACAATTTGAAAATATGTTTAAGAAATAATAACGAATGTTTCGAATAACATTGTGACCATTCGTGACGATACAATATCGTAATATCTTAGATTGGTGGAGAAACAGCCGAGATGCCCGATATGTATGCCGAAGGGGAATACGACTTAGCGGGTTTTGCGGTGGGTGCGGTCGAAAAGGACAATTTACTGCCTCGTGTGAATGACATAAAAGAAAACGATGTTGTGATCGGCCTTCCATCCAGTGGTGTGCATAGTAATGGCTTCAGCTTAGTGCGAAAAGTATTGAAAATCGCCGACAAGAAGTACTCTGATGTAGCACCTTTTTCAAAGAGCAACAAAACTATTGGTACATAATAACTATTATAGATATTGTCTTTGATATAACAATATTGAGTATATTTTTTAAGTGTGTAACGATGTAATGCTATGCAGGTGAAGAACTATTGGAACCAACGAAAATTTACGTGAAAAGCGTTATTTTCGCCTTACGGACCAATCTGGTGAAAGGATTCGCACACATCACCGGCGGAGGTCTCACAGAAAATATACCAAGAATTTTATCTGAAAACTTGGGTGTAACGTTAGACGCGACTAAGTGGAATGTTTTGCCAATTTTTAGCTGGTTGGCCGCGGCTGGTGAGTGCATGTAAATATGTAATATATATTTTTACATAAATCTTACACTAAAGATATTTTTCGCACAGGTGGCATCAACAAATACGAAATGTTAAGAACGTTTAATTGCGGCATTGGTGCTGTTTTAATATGCTCCGAGAAAGATAAGCTTGAAGTTTTAAATGAGTTAAAAAACGAAAATCCTGTGATTATTGGAAGCGTGAATATACATAGTAGTAAGAAGCTATTATTGCTATTAGAAAATCACGATTAATGATATTAATTTATACATTTGTATAAATTGTATAAACGCAGGTGGCAAGACTAAGGTGGAAGTGAAAAACTTTGAAAAAGTCCTCGAGTTGGAGATGAAACAATATATTCCCGGCTTAGTTGCAACATTGAGCAAACCTCTAAAAAAAGTTGCCGTTTTGATATCTGGAAGTGGGACGAATCTCCAGTCGTTAATTGATGCTACACAAGATCCGTCTCAGCGCATAGGAGCAGAAATTGTTTTGGTGATTTCAAATAAGCCTGGTGTCGAAGGACTAAAACGTGCTGAGAGAGCCGGCATTAAGACAGTGGTAATTATTATGCATATATTATGACAAATAATTCATATACGTGTATATAATATGATAAAAAATAGTGAATCTAATGGATACACTTTACTCATTTACACACACCTAGGTAATTAAACATACTGATTATCCAAATCGTGAAACCTTTGATTCGGCCATGAATGTGGAACTTCATGCTGCTGGAGTAGAAATAGTATGTCTAGCCGGCTTTATGCGAATTCTCTCGGAGATGTTTGTAAAACACTGGAAAGGAGCTTTGTTAAATATTCATCCGTCGCTGCTGCCGTCTTTTAAGGGAGCAAATGCGCACAAGGACGTTTTAGCGGCGGGTGTACGTGTCTCGGGTTGTACTGTGCATTTCGTCGAGGTATGCAGATCGGGTGAAACTTCCTTAAGATCAGATCTTTTCTTAGTTCAATTAAAGAAGACTAAAAAACAATTTTAAGTAACTCGGCTCTAGCTGTTAACAAATGACTCACACACGCATTATTATCGATCAGGTTGACATAGATTCAGGAGCTATCGTCGAACAACAAGCGGTACCTGTGCTACCATGCGATACTGAAAAAATCCTGCAAGAACGTGTAAAAGTAGCGGAGCATCAAGCTTATCCTCGTGCTTTAAAACACTTGGCAACTGGACGAATAAAACTAAAAGAAGACGGTACCCTTCATTGGAATTTCTAAATCATACATGTATACGCATGCAACAAAAAACTTCGTAAAAGAAAAATTAAATTTTTATATTGTTATTCACATGTGTCTTATTCTTATTTATATACATAAGTTTAATATATTAATGTTTTATATATAAATAGATTCGCGACATATTAATCACTAATATTACATTAATTTTCTACGTAGTCTTCCTATTAAACAAATTACTTATAAGATCAAAAATGTCCTGAGAAATATTTTCATTGGAGTTTTTGTGCTTTTGAATTTCTGTGTATTTCTTAGCATTTTTAAGAGGTGCTACCGACAATGCTTTTTTAGCAAGCTCGTCCAATCGAACGTGAAGCATCTGTTTTTGGAGTATAGGAACTAATAAATTATATTTATCGACTTTATTATTTATCTGTTTAACCGAAATTTTTAATTTCTCTAAATTGTCTTTCCACACAGCTGCCTCTTTTGGTATTAGTGGAAGTTCTCCTACATCATTACGCATTTCTGATAATTTTTTTTTCAACTCCTCAATCTCTTCCCTGATCTCTTTTGATAGTTGTATCCATTCTGGGGTAAATCCATTGTCTATCAATATCTGTATATAGAATGCACAAGAAAAATTGATATTTGATATCAAAATATTTAGTTTTTAAGCTTTTATACCTGATTTAGTTTATGAGTAACAAAATCGACATAGGGATTTCTGGAACTTGTAGTATTCAATGGCTTTCCCATTCCAGGTAAGTCTCTAAATTCACCTTTGTTCATTGCCTCTTGAATCAAGTCTTCCACCAAACGATCCATACCATAACGAGTTTTAATATCTTTGGCTCTCTGTTTATCCATACCAATCAATGTATTCCGTTCCTCAGCTTGTAGTTTCTTCAATCTGTGCTCCATTACATTATTAACTGCTTTTTGAGCTCTTTGTATTGTATGCAATCTTTGTCTTTTACTTGGTGTACCAATACCCACATCAAAAGTCAAATAATGCCGATGTTGAGGTGCTGTGTGCTTAAGGTAAGATCAATCAGAAATATAAAAAAAAAGAGATATATGCAAAATATCTAGACAGTTACCTTGATGTCAAATTCTTCCACTTCTGGCAACACTTGTTTATTATTCTGGGCATTCCTAATTTTTCGAATTTCTCTATATGCACTTTCAATCTATTTTAAATAATTATATAATAATGAAAACTGATGAGGAATTAGTTTTTGTAATATATTACCTCAGAAAATTTAATAGCATCAGCTTTTGATGTTCCACTATCTGGATGAAATTGCTTTGCAAGATAAACAAATGCTAATCTTATAGCCTCATCGTCACAATCTTCTGTAATACCAAGTGTTTGATACAACTCCTACAAACGTACATTTCTTTAATTTTAATTTCTGAATATAAAACACTTTTTATCAAGTGTAAATTATGACATTTGATTAGATACCCTTGAAGTGCGCTTGGAAGTATGTCGATGATTAAGTCTTTTGGAAAAAACTGAATCGGTGTACGGTACACACATCAGATAAGCTTTTGATGTAGAATACGTTCGATGTAGAGAAAACATGATTTACAATATATTTTTCCTTTTAGCGACTGAATTCTGCGCTTCAATGATATAGATGCTGTTTATAGCCATCACTACCTCAATTTCTTGTTAAAGAAAGTGGCGGCTCGTAGCGGAAACCTTGGAACTGATTTACAGAAATAACAGAGGTTTAATGTCAAAATTATTTTTGTAATAATCGACTATGATTGGCCAATTCTTACTTGCGACACCTATTGTAGATCAGGCCTAACCTTTACTAGAGAAATTTTATCTAATATAGAAAATAGAAGTATTATTTCTCACCATTACATCCTATATATCATGGTTCGTTTAAAATGACAACCACGACAAAATGAGGTTATATCTCGCTTTTGTGATAATTATTTGTTTTTCATGGGATTCGGGCGAATGTTTAATGCCTGCCAATGCAAATAAGAGTGTTGATCAGCAGTTAGAATACAGACCCGAAGGGCCGCTGGTGATGTGTAAATTTCTGTAAGTATTTAATCATATGTTTTGTAACGACTGAAAACAGTAAACAAATGTGACATATTTGTTCTTTTAGATCGATAGAATTTATAGAATGTGAAGAACCAATTGATCACAAAGGAAATAAAACTGCCAAGGAAGAGACAGGCTTTGGTTGTGTTAAGGTACGATATGATATAAAAATTTTCTCAAAATGTACATAGTATATGTAATTATATAATTGCAAATATATAAAAAAGTATTTAATTTAAATTAATTTAAATTATTAATAGTTTGGAGGATCTCGCTATGAAGATGTAGAGAAAACTAAAGTATCATGTACAGTATTGCCAGACATCGAGTGCTTTGGACCAAGAACATTCTTTCGCGAAGGAGTACCGTGTATAAAATATAGTGATCACTTTTTCGCAACAACTCTCTTATATAGCATTTTACTGGGATTCCTTGGTATGGATCGATTTTGCCTTGGTCATACTGGAACAGGAGTAGGCAAATTGTTGACATTAGGTGGTATGGGAGTATGGTGGATTGTTGATGTCATTTTATTGGTGACAAATTCCTTACAACCTGAGGATGGTAGTAATTGGAATCCATATGTATAATATTCATATTACTTAAGGAATTAAGCAACATTTTTTGTATATAATTTGTAATTTATTTGTAAATAAATCACAGTGTGTAACAAAGTGCAATAATGTAATATAATACAAGAGAAATAGATTACATCTTACATAAAGTCAGAAGAGAGAAAGAACTCTTTATTTACAATTCGTAATCATCAGGATGATATAATTCACTAAGCAGCCTGTACACGTAGGATGGCGCGTTTCCACCTCTGAAAAAAAAAAAAAAATCGTAAATTGTCACTCGATTTGAGATGTTTACAGCGAACAATTTGTTTGTCTTACGTGTTCGAGATAAACAACGTGACCAGGTCTGGCGGAACGTAATCAAACATAGGATTGTATGCCCGTATCTTCGTTAGCAACTGTGCATTGTTGTTCTCGATTAAACCAAGAAATGGTGAAACGTGCCTGTTGAAACTATCCTGCTTGTGGTAAAGGTAAAGGGGCGACAACTTGTATAACGGTAACAGAACCATCACAGGAACAGAGTAATGTTTAGCAGCTTGCGCTACAGTATGCGATCCCGAGATTGCTCTGAGTCCACCATTCGCCATAACGGTATCGGTACCGATTATGACTTTATTAACTCGTGACATCATCGCGAAAATGGCTGCATCCGAAATAAGCGTGGTTTTGATTTTCGTCTTGGCTAAATTCACTGCCATTTCGTGTCCCTGCAATTATTACAGTTTCTCTTTTAATGTATTTTTTCAAGATATTCTCACCTCAATTTTACAGTTAATTTTATCGATTGTTAGATTAAAGAAAATTTTGGAGTATTTTGTATAGCTTGATTGATTGTAGGTGTCATTTTATAAACACATCTTTTTGTTTCTATATATTTTGTAAGAATTTTCAGTTATATACTTCTAACATCATCAATCAGGACAGCCACAGTGAAGACACAAGTCTCAGTGAATATTCTATTGATTAAACATAAGCTTACAGACAGAAGAGGCCCACCCTCCGCCACTATAACTTCAAAAGCTCTGGTAGTAGCAGCTCTTTTAAAAAATTCCTCCACTAATTTAGACTTTCCAATAGTCATGATAATCTCGTTCGAATGTATGTGCTCAGAAGCTTGTTGAATGATATTTTCTGAACTATAAACATAAAAATATCTAATTGTACTTATGAAAAGAATTTTTTTTTCATTAAGGCACAATTTTTATGATGTAAATGTAACAACTAACCAGGTTTCCAGCTCAGTTTCAAATTCATTAATGTGTTCAATAAGAGCAGATTTGAGACAAGGTACTGGAATATTAAAGTCTATCTGTTGATCACTTTCTGCAGTGAGAATCTTGTGCAAAGATTCCTGAGAGTCTATCTCATCTGTCTTATTTTTTAATTCTGAAGTATATTCTTCCCTGATGATTTGTAATATTCTTCTTACCATGTTTCCAATACAAGCTTCAAGAGGACATTCCTTGGTCAAATATTTTCCATTCAGTATAATGATATCCATTAAATCTCTGTTAAAATCAAGATATAATGCATAAATAAATAATAAAGTTAACATATATTTCCCCAATAAAACTGACATGATGACCAACAATGACTGAGCAACACTAATGAGAAATTACAACAGTTGAGAATTAAAATACATACTTTGCAGTATTCCATTCTGTATTATTAATAATTTCTTTGAATATTGATATGGTAGTTACTACGATATTATAAGAGCCTTTGATTTCTCTAAAAAAAGTGATAGTATAATAATAAATGTATATTATAATATATATAGTACGAATATTTCTCTTTGGAGGTTGAAACAGATTTCCTTACCCATAATGGATGCTATTTATAAGCTTCATTACATTTTCATTAATATTTTTCGGTTTCGTACCAACCATTTTTGCTGTGTTTAAATATTCAACTAAGAATAAGAGTTTTATCAATCAAATTAATATATGTCACTGGTTTTCAGAAAAATACTATTTCATTCTCCCACGTGTCAGTGACTGTTTATCCACAGACAGGATCAATGATGCAACTTCGAACCTAGACCGGAAACGTTTTTCCCTTCTACTTTGGCTGCGTTCATTTTGAGCGTTCACGTGCTGTAAGTATCAATAGGCATCCAGTTCTACATACTGGGCCCTTATTCTTGAAATAGTTGCGTATACGTAAGTTTTACGGCACAGGTTTAATCATACCATAAAATAGCTGCGCAATGAAAATTACATATACGCAAAAATTTCAAGAATAGGGGCTCTGGGCTGCGTTCCAAAATTCTACTCGATGAGTAGAGTACATTTAATTGACCAATCATGATAAAGAAATCCTAGTTATCTTTGTTCTTATTGGTCAATTAAATACTACTCTATCCGTTAGGGTGCCGGAACGGATAGAGTAGTATTTAATTGACGGAACGGATTTCTAGTTATAAAATAGATTTCACTCTTCAATTAAATATTTCAGAATATTCATGACAATGTTATCGGCAAGATAATTGCATAAATTATGTATATTATTAATTCTGTCGCGTCAAAATAACGAAATATTAACGAATTAATCATATTTATTTGCGACCGACGCGCCATTCCGTTCCGTTTTTGCTACATGGGACTGGTAGAGGAAACTTTTACGGAACGGAACTAGAGAACGGAACGCTCATTATAGTAATAGTGAATTCGGTTGCTTGCACTAGTGTGCACTGAGTGCGCACTAAGGCTTGTTCATAGTATGTTATTATATTTAAAAATTGTCTTAAATAATTCTCAAATAAATTCTCAAATATTTTTAACCATAATATGATATGTATAACATCCGTACGAATCATTTTATTAGTTAAAATGTTTTTAAATATGTATTTAAGACACGATCTTAAATATAAGAATGTACTGTAAACAAGCCTTAATGCGCACTCAGTGCGCACTAGTGCAAGCTACCGAATTCGCTATAAGAAATCCGATCCGGCGTTCCGATCCGTGCTCAATGGGACGGCACCCTTAAGTAGGTTTGGTAGAGCCTTAGAGAACGATTATTGACGTCATCAGTCTCTATTAACCAATCATAAAACTTATAAGTACTTGTTCGACCAATAAACGTAGGGAGCGGTGCACTTGGACACGGTGCATTTGGACATAGCCAATCACAGCATCGTGTGATTAGAGAAATTTGTAGGGTCCCTTGGAACAGCGACTTGTGATTGGACTGTATCCAATTGTCCCGTGTCCAACTGATATACACCCATAAACGTAGGCTGAATAACCCATAGTGAGTTAACCCAGAGTCAGTCAAACGAGCTATAACTTATAGCATATTCGATTGGCTCTGAGTGATTCAGCCTACGTTTATTGGTCGAACAAGTACTTATAAGCTTTATGATTGGCTAGTAGAGACTTATGACGTCATTAATCGCTCTCGGAGCGATTAACCTAGGGCTAGTCGAACACGCTATAACTTATTGCACTAGTTCAGCAGTGCAGCTACAAAGAACAGGCAGGAAAGTTTCTATCACAGACTAAAGCCAGAGGCACACAATGCTTGTTTTCATGCTGGATTGCTTGCTAAATGGAAATACTCTGTTCTGATTGGTGCATTTTTGAAGACGGACCAATTAGAATAGAGTATTTCCAACAAGTAATCCAGCAGGAAAACAAGCATCGTGTGCCGCTGGCTTAAGTTTATACGGCAGCTTAAAACCGGTTTAGTAACAACCGTATTTAGTAAACTCTCGCATCCGATTGGTATATTCTTTTAGATCTAGAAATATACTCCAATCGTATTCAAGAGTTCACTAACTACGGTAGTTACTAAACCGATTTTAAGTTGCCGTATAAACAAAGTCACTGCTAAGATCGTTGATCTGTTCTTTTCAGCTAACTGTTGAACTGGTGTAATAAGTTAGAGTGAGAGAAAATATACTTGTCTCACTTTAACTTATTGCACCAGTTCAGCAGTAGCTGAACAGAACAGACGAATAATCTGTGAATCTAGATGCGCCTCTAGCGAAATATTGAAGGAAGGAAGGGAAGGAATCTATGAATCTTTTTTAAAGAATACTTTGAAACTATTTTCAAGAAATATTTAGGAATAGAGATTGAAAATAATTTAAAAAAAATAAAGAATAGTGTGTTGATATAGAAATGATAGAAAAAGAGGATGGTGTGCCAAATAGCTATATCTTAAAATAAATATCTTCGAAGAAAGCTAAAGACACTGTGACGGAGTCAAAAATAAGAAGAAAAAAAGGACATACTTTGGAAAAGAGAATTTATGTTTAGAAAATAGAGCAAGAAAAAATCAAACTAAAGAAGAGATATTATAAGCCGCATAACTAAAAATATTCTTAAGGAAGACTAAAGTCTTAGTGAAATACGAAAAATAGAAGAAAAAAAATAATGTACGTATTAAATACACAAAAAATTAATTTTTTTTTAAAGCTAGAATATTTTGATTGTTTATTTTTTATGTTTGTTGTCTTGATTGTTATATTTTTCTAATTTATAGGAAGATGTTATTTTGTAATATTTTCTAAAAAATTACTAAAGTGCCATTTAGTAACATGATAATTTACTTTTATCTCAACTTGCAAAATAGCATTGGTGTCCCAATTAGTGGCCAAGTAATCTCATCATGAAAATAAAAAGAAATATATAAATTTATTAATAAAAAGTAAGTTGTCATTATTCGAATATTACAAATTGTGGTACAGAATTATGAATATATTATTAACCTACTATTGACTTAAACATGATAATTTATAGGTAAATGACTCATATTTGTACTACTTAATAAATTCTGAAAGGTCAAATTATGATATTAATACTACTTTTTAATTTTGTAATGAAATTTATAAATCATGTGTTCTTATAGGAATGTTTATATCATTTTATACTATACTTATCCATATTAAATATCATGTGTGGACACAAATAAATACTCTAATATTGATTAATGACATGTATGAATTAAGTACAAAAATTATATATCTTGTTATTAAATTGCATATCTTGTTATAAAAGTACATATCTTGTTATTTTCTCTACTTCTAAAATAATTTTTAACTTTCTCTCAACTTTCTTTGATATAACCATTTCAATTGCTTAAAGTTAAATAATAACTGCAAAAATCTAGCAAATAGATATATAATATTAACTGCTAACTTCTACAATGGTGAATAACTGTTTAAACTATCGCTATCAATAATATATTTATAAAGTTATGATGTTCCATGATTTACTATGACCTTTAACTTTACTCAGAACTTATTATAACTAATAAAATTTAGAGTAAGAACACATATTTAGGGTAAATATAAATCTGTATTAAGTGATCTATATTAACTGATATATTAAGAAAAATATATGCAACTGTCACTAATTGGGATACTGTCATTAATTAATTCACCTTACCCATTGCATTAGTATTTTTATATTTTTGTTTTAGATAAAATATATTATTTTAGTGCTTTCCATTTTTTTAATGGAAAAATCAATGATGAACTGTCCACTGCTTGTTTCAAATTTCCATACTCCAAGAATTATATGGAGCCAATCAGACCTTACCATTGTAGTTCGTATTCTTTTAATTGATGTTCATCATTATTATCTTCGAGTCGAGAGTGATTATTTACTTTTTAGGTATTTGCATATAAAAAGTTATAAAAAGCACAAATATCCTGGAATTTAACCTAACTAAACCTAATCTTGTTTTATTGCAGTACAACAGTAAATGATAAAAATTATTATCTTACTTTGCATTTGTTTGGACCAGTAATAGCAGAAAAAACAGTACACAATAATTTTGGGAGAGAAATTAAGATCAGTCTCACAAAGGGACTCAAATGTATATGTTGATTATTTACAATACAATTAGTGCCTCTCTATCTTCTTGTATGATGAATAGGTTGATTTAATATTTGTATAATCTTATAGGGTTTCAATGGTTAAGACTGATTTCATCTAAAGAAAAGGATCCACTTATAACATATGACTTAAATTATATATGTGAAAAAAAATATATTAAGAAAAATTTTTTTATTAAAGGTATTGTAAATGTCATTCTTTAAATCAACGAATTATAGGTAATTATTTTTATATATTTCTCTTTTTCTTTATTGTAGGATCTGTTAATAACATTAAGCAGCAATATGATAAGATGTATATAAGACCGCCTACAGATGATGAATCTGAATCTGAATCTGACGAGGAATTGGACTTTCTAAAATATGCCTAACAATATATCCTTTTTTTATTGTGTTTTTTAGCATAAGATATTATTTAATTATAACAAACATGCTTTTATCTCATTTGAGATATATAAAAAACATGATTATGTGCATAACTAATATAACAGCTGTAATATAGTAATTTTTTACATACACACATGCAAGATACATACAATATAACATATTTCTTGTAGGAAACTCCAAAATAGTATAACTTTATGTATTAAGAATTATTATATTAGTTCGTATGTTATAATATATGTAGGATGACCCAGACTTTCCTCTGTAATTTTTGTGGAAACATAGAACAGATTGAGATGAACATAAAAGTATTATTATGCGATATTCGCAATAATAGTCGAGATATTAATTAAAGAAGATTGATGAATAATGACGTGTGATATAGGATGAGCTATAGAGTAGCTAGAGTGGCGCCGTCTTGTATGTAAGATTGATTTCGCGAAACGGTATGGAATTTTTATGTTGATCTCAATCTCTGTTCTACGTTTCCACAAAAATTGCGGAGGAGAATCTGAAACACCCTATACATTCATGGGATCAGTTTAATTTAGACTTTTATTTCATAAGTTTTAATAAGACTAATCTAATTTATAAGCCCCGTGTTGGTTTTAAGTTTGTTAATGATCTCTTACAACTAATCGAATCTAATACAACAGAATCGAATTTAATATTTCAATACATCTATCAAAATATATATACTGTTATATATATATATATATATATATATATATATACATATATATATATATATATATATATGTGTGTGTGTCAAATAATTTTGATTTCTATATTTTTAAAGAAGTCTTTTTAGAAATGTATTCTGTTGTATAAATATATTTTCGCATATACAGTTTGTACATTTTCATATATTATATAAAAACAGATATAAAAGTACTCATTGTAAAAATATACTAAAAAATTATCGTTTGAAAAATTTTTATTTGTGAAAAAAATTAGAATATCATAAAATGAATGTAATATTGTTATAAATATGTTTCATCTTTAAAGGAATAATTAAATTAAAAATATATATAGAAAATTAAAAGATGTATTTTAGTTAATAACACACATACATATTTTTTTTCATTTTTATGAAATCATGAATTTAAAAAATGTGTATAAAACGGGTACATGTTACATAATTATCATGTATACCTTAATGATTAATGTGGAATGTTGCTAAAGTTGATAAAATAACCTGCAGTCGTTAATTAAATATTGTGACAAATGATTTACGAATATCTTTGGCAATGCATAGCTTGTTTTTAAAAATTACCTTTTACCTATGACTGAAAAACAAAATTGATCTATGTTTCGACACAATGATAACTATTTTAAAATAAAGGTAAAATATGCATACCGATTGCATTATATATCATAATACCAGCAAAGTTGAGCAGGCTATAAATATTATAATTAAATAAGTTTAGCTAGTTTTTAAGACAATCTATAATGCCTGATAGAATCTGGGATAAAATTCTAACATTTTAGCAATAATCTCACGCTGTCAATTGTAATTTCTCTCACTGAGAGATGAACATCATTCTAGTTCAGAACTTTGTATGCGTTGCACGTTTCGATCGATTTTCAACTTATCCCGCTTGAAAGTAGTTCGGAGAACTATACGGAGAAAATAGTTTTCCATTATTAGAAATTTATATTTACAACTCCTAAGTTTCGAGCGATTTGTTGGATACATACGAGGCGATAAGGTAAGGGCAATCGTATCAAGTCGAAAATCGGTTGAAATGTACAACGCGTGCCGAGTTCTGTTCTAGTTGAATATATAAGGGGAATAACATAACATTATACATTGATTTTACTTAAATGCCGCTACAACTTATCACATTGATCGGTATGTATTGCAATATTGCAATATATTATAATATGTCGACTTTACTGAAATTAACAATAACATTTGAAACAATATAGAAATGAATTACTTGGATATTGTTTTACACATACAATCACATATAAATGTAAATTAAAATACTAAAATGAGATTTTCTCACATACCGAAAAATAAAACAAAATAAATTATTTATTAACTGTTAATAATGAATAATAAACTAATAATGAATAAAATAAACTGAGTTATAATTCTCGATATAGTATATATTCCAACGTGACTCAAAATGTTCACAAAATTCATTCTCTAGTTCTAATATAATAGTTTACAATTTTTATAGAAGAATTTAGAGTTATTTTAAAATAATTAATATCCCGTTTGTTTAATTATACAAATGACTTTTCCAGTTACCGTAAATAGAAATCCATCTCGTTAATACAGTTACGCAAAATTTATCTTGCACATCGCTATTATCTTTTGTTCATTAAAATGCAACGTTAGAGATCATTACCATTCGCTCAAGGTTAACGCAGTTTATGACACACTCCAACATTACGCGTGAAAGCAGACGTGTAAAACTTTGAGGAAATTGAATGCGACGTTCCTATATTATAATATAGTTCCTATATTAGCTCACAGAAAGATAGCGTCTCTTTATCGCTGTAAATTACTTTTTCCTGTTACGTGGCGGTGAAAATAAAAATATACGGTAACACGTGGCACTATTCATTTAATTCATCGAATAAGATATTGCATGAGATACGGGTTTAATCTCGTTGATGTAGTGATATTCGTCGACAATATTACTACTTTCAGTTCATCGCAGTAAATGCAATGCAATTTGTATATGCCAAATTTAATTTACTTTGCTAATGGTTGTCTACGTGTGCCTCGTTTGGCTAGCAGCCTTCCAACGATAGCCTTTGATTTATATTCTCGACTCTAGTTTTCATTTCTCTAAGAATATCCGTGGCGAGATCGTCCACAGTGGTGTAGCGTACTTTGAAAATATTAAATATATCTATAAGAAACTCTATCACTTGCTCCTTAAAGTAATAACAGGTGGAACGTAGGTTACTCTCCGAGCCCAAGAATCCCCATACAAGCACTGGGGAGATTTGCTCGGAGATCGAGTAGAAATGCGCCAGAAAGCCCTGATCGTACTTCAGCATCTGCCTTTTACCCATGAGGACAGACCATACCGCCGTTCCTATCGCCTGTAAAAGCAATTGATTGCATTAAATGCTAAGACAAAGGAGGATGTCAAAAATAGGCCATTTTTAACCCATTGACAGAACTTTAATTAATCATTGGAAATTGTTTTTATGATCTTCCAATCTTATCAGGGTACAAAGCTTAAAAAATACTTTATATGACTACTTCAACAATAATAAACCTCGATTTTCATAATTTTCCCTGGACCTGATGAATAAGTGATTCTTATTTACTAGAAGATTTCAAAAATAGTTTCTAGTGATTAGTTAAGGTTCCGCAGGTGGCTTATTTAAAAAATTTTCTTTTTAAAACTAGGCTTCACAGACTTACGGTTTCCCTAAAACTAGCGGATATCCATCGGTTTTGTAGTATAGCCTTGATGGACGAAGGCGGTTTCTCCATCTCCTCGAACGCATCCAACAGTATAAAGTCGACGAGGACATCGTAGAAGTTCATACACTTGACACCGCGAGCGGTTAATTCCTCCTCCATAATACTATGATTGCGCGACTCTTTCAAGAATTCCAACATGTGCTCGTAATGCACTAGATAATCTTTGGGATCCTGATAGAATAGCACACAATCAGTTTTCACTGATAAATATCTCATTACGATTTCTAAAGCAAATGGTTTAGCAAATGTAATAATTGTAACAAATACCAAAGTATCCTTACCCTATCTGCATACATAATTAAATCACTCATAATTTGTCGGCCTATGTCCGCAATAAATGTTTTCGCCGCAGGCAAATTAAATAATTTGGTATAGGCTTGACGTAGACAATGTACTTTCGCTAAATATTCCACGTCTGCTCCACACTTCACAAGTTCCGTATGCATTCTCCTGCAATAATATAAATATAAATATAATAACATAAAATAAATAATATAAATAATGTGACGTACGCATAGAAAAAAATTGATATTCACTTAAAACTAATATACTCAAGTTAATAGTTATTGTTTCATATATAAGCAACGATATATAATTTTGTTAAACGAATTTTAAAGTCTTGAATTCTAACATAATTTTATTTTAATATTATAATAATCTCATAAAAAGTACAATATGATTATTTTGATATCTTTTTTCGACATTAAAAACATTTTCAATCTAATATTTTATGTTTTTCATTCATGAAAACTACTTTTTAATAATAATATATTTCTTTGTTGTATTATATAAAATATATGATACAAGTAATTTATCTTTGTTTAATGCTATGCAATCTCATTTTAAGATTTACATATCAAAGATAAAGATATTGTTAAAACATGACTGTTTTTTTCTTCTGTATACATACAGTCGACTGATAACGATTTACCTGCAAGGAATACCACTGTCTTCGTATTGTTTAAGAGCGGCATGGTACAGCGCCTGCCTCTCAAGATGTGGAAACAATTCAGAGAATTCCTCGAATTCGCGTAGATCTGCAACCTGGGATAATTCGAATGTCGCGAGCTGATTCGTCTTTCAATATGACAATTTCGTTTTGAGAAAAACTGTCAAAAATAATCTGCATATTTACCCCGTCACGCGCGGATTCGAAAGAGTCGGGTGATGACGCAACGTCAACTCTTTCCTTGCCAGATATTCGCGTCTCAACGTGCGAAGGTTTACGACTGTCGAGACTCTCCTCGCTATCGTTGCGAAATAATACAGAGTGCTGCCAAAAAATAAACAATGCGAATTAGCATATATTCGGAAGCTACATCTCCCTTGTAAAAATGTCATATATATATATATATATATATATATATATATATATATATATATATATACATACATAAATATAATCTTTATGATTATATATATATATATATATACATATATATATATATATATATATATATATATATATATATATATAT